TCTGTTCTTCATTAGCTCAGAAGCTGGACAGTGGACTGCTAAATGCCTGTTGTTCTGTAAATAGGCTGGGACTAAAATACACGGGAGAAAGATTTCAACTGTATGGAAAGGATACCACTGACACATTTAAAGCAATATACCCTGTAGTTACAGTTTGAGTATGATCCATGAAAAGGAAGGTGTTTATCCATTTTCCACCTTCTATGGAATTACAGTTATAGGCACATGTTCTGGAGTCATTTTTTTGTCTCACACGTTAATGTTTGCTGTCCTGTGAAGTTGCTTCTGATTACAGAATGTTGGATACAGTAGTAATAACTCCATGGTCACTGAAGTCGGTGACTAAGAGAGGGGTGATCCTTCAGTGTTTTACTTCTGCAGATTACTGTGTGGTAGAGAATGAGGCTGTGAAGACCCTTCCTCTCTTCCAGGTTAAAACCCCCTGTCGCTATTTCATTCTCAAAATGATTCAGACTGCGGTTGCCTAAGAACATAATTTTGAGAATACGAACAACCCTGATACCTAGCCTTGTACGCTAAAGGGAGATGCAGTAAGCCCACATAGCAGCTTCGCACTGGGGAGAAAAAAGAGTTTGGACTTTATTCACCACACTTCTAGTTTTATGCAGGTATGCCTGGTGCATTGGGGAAATTGTTTAGGAGCAATCAATCCTTGTGTGAAAATTGCCTTGTAATGCTGCTAAGGTCAGTGAGACCTTGGTTTATTTGCGACATAAGTGCTGCTTGAGTGACTTAGGATACTCCAACACCCATAGGAACAACCTTAACTTGCACACTAGAGGTTTTCAACGTTTTAGGACTGTGATTTCTTGCACACCTTGCTCATTTGGTACAGATCATACAGTGGGGTGAACTAATCAGAGTTCCATCAGCATTATCCCCCTGCCTTTGATATTGCTTAAACACTTTACTATAGTAGATGTTTAGGATCATAAATAAATGTCCTTTCTGTTTTTCCACTGCTCAAGCTAAGAACTTCTAGAAGTTTTTGTAGTAGCAATCTGTTACTGCAAACTTGATCGTGCCATTCTTCTGTGGTAGTGCTCGAAGTTGGATGTAATTCATGTGCAAAGTGTATGAGAATAATTATCAGTGACCTCTGTCAGGATTTGCTTTTCTGGTGTGATACTGGCTTTTGATTGAATCCCACTATAATTTCTGTTAAGACAGATAAGAACTCATGAGGAAATTCATCTCCCAACTACTTTTGGGGGGATAAGGGGTTAGCAGAGGACTATAGTCCAGTGGTTGGAATGCAGAATTAGGGTAGCAGGTCTTTTGTTTTCAGTTTTGCTTCTTTCTGATACGTGACTTAGTCTGGGATTTAGTTTTTTCATCTGTACAACTGGAATAATAATACTTGCAATTTGAGCCTTACAACGTGCTTTGAGACCAACAGTGAAAAGCTCTCAGTAATGTATTTATTGCATTCTGTTTATAGATGTTACAAGCAGTAGCTAGGAGAAATGAGAATAAAATGAAGCCAAACATGCTGATTTAAAAGCTAACTGTTAAAGCCAGGCCTGAACTAGTAAAATAGTTACCCACGTGCCAATGCCTCTCTTCATGTCGCTCAGAATTAAATTGCAGGGTTCCAACTGCTGTCAAAAAAAAAAAAAAAAAAAATTTCCAAGGTTATAACTATTTAATGGGGGGAAAATGACTAATTTCTGTCTCTTTAAATTTTGCGGTGGAGAAAATAAGGTGCTTTGATCTTTAAATGACAGCTTCCAGAGTCATTACATTGAATCGGTTAATCTCTCCCAGTAGTTACCTTATTCTCTGTTCCTCATGGGCATCCTCTTTCATGGTCTCAGTACTGAGCTTCAAATCAATGAACAAACTGTTACTGCTTCCAACACAGCCTGTCTAGTGAGCTTTCCTGCTTTCATGCATTGCCAAGCTCTTACCTCAAACCTTGGCATATCAAAGTGGAGAAGAGGTCTGGTAGTGCCGCATGTGTGTTAACCAGGCTAGCTCCATCATATTCATTTACACTGTATGGGTCAGGCAGTCCCTTGCCTCTTGACAAGAGAGATTTGTCAGAGGCTGCATGACCTGTCATTCCCAGGTGACATATGTAATTCAAAGCAGGTCAAGTGACATAACAGTGACTGTGAGTATCCTTGGTCATCCCTTTATCTATTTTAAAAAAATACTAACCAAAGCGGTAACTGATCTACGTATCTTTGTATGAGATATCCATGCCCAGACAAAAATAAGTTGCATTCTATGTTATCGTGCTGCTGACTGAATATTCTTTTTCTTCAGCCTGGTTTTCATTTCTCTTAGGAAAAAAAAAAAATTGAGAAATTTCCCAGTGTAAGCCCCATGAAGCACCTATGTTATGTACAGTATGAGGTATTTTATCTGCTAGTGCACAGCAAATGCTGTGAAGTAACACCTGGGAGTTTTTTTCGAGTTTTACCAGCTACTGCACATGCTGTATAAAACTCAGTAGCTGAGGTTCTGGAGCAGCATCTGTTCTCCTGCCCATGTTATTAAATTGTTCTTTTATGTGAAGAGGTTACAGTAGATGGTGAATCTTGTGCAAGTTCTATTAGAGTAATTTTGTGGTTTTAGACATAAAAGTTAGGCATCTAAAATGTAATGTAATTAAAAAATACCTCCTCCTCTCTTCCAGGAAATAAACCAAGATTTGGTGCAAGGTGAACATTTTTAGACAATTTTCTCTTCTGAGAGGGTAGTACCAGGAATTTTCCAAACCATTTGACATACAGTTCTTTTATTAGAAGCCACCTTCCATTAAGCAACAAGTAAGAAGGGTTTTTTCACTGATAATGACAGATTTACTGTATTAATATTCCTAAAAAAGACCTCAAATATATTATCTTCAGTCACACTTCAGTGAGGCAGAATTTCAGGTTAGGTGCTACACCTCAAAAAAGAATAACATTATTATGGTTGCAGAAATGTGTGTTTTTCTGTAGTGTGTCAGACCTTAAAGTCTTCTGTGCTTCTTCCAGCAACTTCAAAGGTATGTCCCCGAATACAAAAGCGAACCATGCTCATTCCCCTCTTTGTGTGACATATACAGTGCATTCAGTGTGCAGTATGGCAGCAACAAAAAGCATTGGGGTTGGAAATGTCACCTGAAGTTTACTGACCTGAGTGCTTTCTACCTGCACTTGAAAACAACATTTTCTGTTGCCTGTGCTAATCATCCATTCTTCTCTGCTTCCTAAGCTTATGGCTAGATCACACGAACCATTTCAAAATGAGAATTTTGCTCAATGTCTGTGAGAATAGTGCAGAATCGATTCCTACCTTCTGTGAAATTTTGCATTGTTTTATCAATAATATTTTCTTCATTTGTTTGATTGTGATTTGGGGCCAGAAGTAACAGAAATCTGAACACAGCATTTGATAATTAGCCAGAGGTAAGCCTTTCCTATGTGGGCACCAATAATCTTGTTTGTGCTGTCTTTGCTCAAGATCACCCTGTTTCTAATTCTCTGTTTAATAGTATTCCAGATTCTGTTATCAAAATCCTTCAGCTTTCTCCAATACTTTGCTGCCAGGTTTCTTACAAGTCTGATGGCCTAAGAGGTCCTTCTGTACCTAAGATACAACATTTCCTAATCCCCAAGGGTCCTCTAAAAATAATTTTATATATCAAGCTTCTCTGTTTCCATGGCCATGTGTAATTGTGCATATACCTTTTTAAAGATACTTACTTTAGAAGATGGAGAGAATTAAGGAAAAAGTTCAACTTAACTTAAACTAAAGTATCTCGGTATTACTATTTGACACTTCAATATTATCTTTGTTCATTTTATTCTACACATACCTTCATCTGGGTTTTCTCCACTTCTGTGTTCTTTGCAATGTTGGATTCAATCCTTAATATCCCATGCCTCGGAGGAAAAGAGAGAGCAATTGTTACAGATGAGTGGGTCAGTGGCAAGGAAAACAGTCCCAGGGATGAGCAAAGCAAAGCTGGTATATTTCCTACACTGGGACTTCTAGAGGAGGAAGGATTGATAGGTGCTCTTACACTACCTTTCTGAAACTTTGAGATTTTTAATACAGTTACATGTCCTTGTTGTATCAGTCTAAAGTCCCCTCTGTCATACTACCATGGCAAAAAGCCTTTAAAAAGAATTGAGAACATCCTTGCACTTTATGGTACAATGATTTGAATGTGATTCCTCACTGGAGCTGGTAAGAATAAACACATAGAATAATATACTTTAAAAAAAAAAAACTTAAAAAAACCCACCCAAAACCTAACCTCAGTTTAGTAAGAGTAAAACCACAGTAAGTGTAGCAGTATGTATATATAACATGAATTCTGTGTGTAATTTCCAATTTTTTTCGTGATAAAGTTTTCTCAGCATAATTTTGTAATTCTAAAAATGGAAAATTGTGTCTGTATTTTTGTCTGATACTTACCAGGGTAATTTATTCCTGAAAAAGAAAAGGGAAAACCTGCATATTTCATCATATAAAGAGTGCGGACAAATCTTGTTTCTCATAGGAGCTAAGGCAGTTACACCTTTCTGAAAACTGTGCGAACACAAAATAAGATTTCTTTTTACTCTGCCACTAATAGATGAGCACGTCAGGCAATACACCATAAGAAAATAAATGACAGTTAGTGATACTTATAATAATTAGTGTACTTTTGCTAATGCATCTGAACGTTTCACAGAATTTTAAGGGAAGTGGAGCATTCACATTTTACTGGTGAAGCTAAAGAGTAGATTTTTCGATGGCTACAACTGTTACTGCAACCTCACTAAAATTAAAGGAGGTTAGATTTCTAACTGATGCACCTTTGAAAATGAAATTTCAGTTACCTGGGAAAGGTTATACACAAAGTCTGTCTTGAAGAAGAAAGAAAAGCATATCTTGAGATCACAGTTGTGTTCATTTGTAGCATGTTGTGTCTGTATTTCTGCATTCTGACTGAAAGACTTCTGTTATTTTAATTTTTTTTTTTTCTCCTCCTTCAGGTCTCATGGAAACCTCCTCTGATACAGAATGGTGAAATCCTTAACTATGAGATTCGCATGCCTGATCCACGAATTGTCATTACTGGGAATACTTCATCAACATTAAGTCATTTGGTGACTAATCTTATACCCTATACAAACTACTCGGTCACTGTAATAGCTTGTTCTGGAGGTGATGGCTTTCTAGGAGGCTGCACAGAGAGTTTGCCCACCAGCGTGACTACACCTTCAACGGTTCCTCAGAGTGTTAGTCCATTGTCTGTGACTCCAATCAGCGAGTCCTTTATTGCCATTTCTTGGCAACCACCACTAAGGCCAAATGGTCCTCATCTGAGGTAAGCTTTTAGTTGCAGCTGAGATGGCAGTTTTCTTCTCCTTACCTAAATTTGACTCAAAAAATTCTGGGCAATGCAAACTTTATGATGTGATATCTTCATTTCTGACCTTTTGAAGTTCCTTTTTAGGGTCCAGGAGTCCGTGAGTGGACTCATGGAAAGTGGGTATGTCTAGAAGCAGATAGCACGGTGAGCTTTGAATTGTTTTGAACTTATGAGGAGTCAGGGTTATTTAAAGCAAGTGTGGTGTGTGTACTGTGGCATTCACTTTGCAGAACACATTCGGGAAGGCTCTGGGTCTTTCAGATCACTGCTGTGTGAAGAGCCAGAAGGAGCAAGCACAGGATATTTGCAAAGTCATAACTGGTTTGGGCTGCAACATCAGCCACGTTTTCGTGGTCAGTTAAGGCAACACGTTCCACCAACAAAATGACAAGAAACGTATGAGATCTCTCTGAACACAAATATTTAACCCATCCAATATTCTCAATACTCTGTGGGGGTTATTCTACATAAAGAGAAAGTGACCATGGTAGCATGATGACATGAAATAAGCTTCAAAACTTAACTGATTAATAAATTGGAAATGAGAGAATGTGTGAGAAAAATGGAAGTTAAAATGCTACAAGTTTGGTGGCAGAGCCAAAAATGGGAAATGCAAGGAAGTGCTGGGTAGAGCTGGCTCGATTTCACCGCAGGAACTAGAGAAAGGTGTCTCTTCTGAGATTTGTCTATACCAATGGGATGGGGGATCTTGACTTGAATTTGTTGATTACTGACTGTGTGTGTGTATACATAAAAAAAAAAAAAAGAAACTTGAGTGCATGAAGATTTATAAAGACCAATATATCTCTATACATACACAATAAAAAAAAGCCAAACAAATCTTTCATTCTAGTGCTTTAACATATTAGGAAACATTGTGCATGGAATTATATCTCTGTACTTCATATGTTCTGATTAGTAGCTCTCTTCTAGGTGCACTGATGGGTTCAATAATTATCACGTAATGCCCTTTCAGTTGCGTTATGTTATTACAGCACAGTAGCTTGACTCTTTCTTCAGGCTTAATTAGGGCACACTACAACTGAATGAAATGATGATTGCTCTACAGTAAAATTTGAAGTTTTTGAAAAGCAGTCTCTGTTATTCTGGGGTTAACAACGTGACCATTTTACCATACATTACCGAAATAATTCAGCACAACCTACATCTGAAGACTTCATTTCCTTCATGGTGTGCCATGCTGCCCTCAACAAGAACAACCACTGAAGCAGCTGCTCTGTACAGCATGATGGAGCAAGAAGTCTGCAGCAAGCAGAGTAGCAGCAGCAGCTGCCAGTGGGGGTGATTTACACATGATCACCATTCATGAAATATATTGGACAGAATATGCCAGGACTGTTCCTAATAAAACTGCAATGATCTGTCTTTGGGTTCTGTTGACACTGATGAACCACTCATGTGAGAGTTGTTCTTGGGGTATAAAGTCATCTGAATTTTTGATAGAGTTGGAGTTTAATTAGTTTTTGCTATTTAATTTCTGAGGTTTTACTCCCCACTTCTGCAGTAATTTGGTTTGGCATCACTAAGGTCAGTGGCACAATGTTTGTTTGTGCCTGTTGAGGATTATTCCCCAAACTCAAGGGCGAAAGTTTTTGGAAGTCACGCAGGTACATCCTAGCTGCTATGGAGCACAGGAAGTCTCAGCTCTCTTGCAAGAGAGCTTCTCAGTTGATTTCTGGTTTTTGAAGCAATGTGAAATCACTGTATGCAGTACCTAAAAAACCTCTTAATTCAGGGTCTCAAATCTGGAATGGTATTGTCCAACATTTCCTCATCAGACTGGAGATGATCTTAACCTGAAAAAGGTAAGTGTCAAATTACACATGAAACCAGTGGTCAGAAAGAGCATTGCAACGGGGTGGTGATCCACACCAAGGCATTCTGCAGAATGCTTAAACACAGAAGGAAACATTTTCACAAAAAAGTGCTTAAAGATCTGCTTGAGTATCCACATACTTTTGACCGGAATTTAGCAGTAACACCTTTCCAAAATGGGGGGCAGGGAACGGATGATACACAGCAGCTCAGCCCTTTAGAGAATCAAGTTGCATATTTAAGGGAATATATATGTATATGACCCTACTTTGCTGGGCATCACTGGAAACACTATTGCAACTATAGTTTGATTAAAACTGCAGCTCACCATTGAAAGCAATTCCAGAGTGGCTCTAAAACTGGTAGGAAGTGTAAAAACATCTGGCGCCTTAAAAAAGAACCATCAAACTGAACCAAAAGTCCTATTAAAAAACTCCTGTGAAATGTAATAAGGAGCAAGAATCCTAAAGATTTTGAACAACTTTATATCATTTGATTTCATTTAGAGTACAGTTTTCTCTGTAATCCATAGAATGATTAGGAAATGCAAAATATGTTATCCCCTTTAGTTTGTGTAGACATGAAGTGATTTAATCTTTGATAAATTCCATAAAAGTTTTGTGTAAAAGATGACAAAGAGTGAGTGATGCAGAATGGGTGGAAGGCATGTTGTCAGAATCAGGCAGTCTCATGGCTGACCTGATGAAAGATGGGCTTTAGCTGACCTGCTGTTTGGAACAGAGACAGGAATACAGCTTCACATACCAATTAAAACCGGGATGAAATAGTTTGGTCTTTCAAGCTCACATCATGAACGTCTACCCAAATACAAAGGTGTCTTGCTAAGGTCTACAGATGGAACAGTTAACTCATTCTACGCCTGTTTGTCGCCCGTATTTTACACTGTGGTTATTTGCAAACACGTGTTAAACACAAATGCACACTTAAGTTGCTACTACCAGTAAAATAATAACAGCAATGCTATATGTTTCAGCACATTTGCAAGAGAGACATTGTCATTTCATATTCTGTAGCAGTCTGTGCATGTCAGATGGCATCAGTCAAGTCTGTATGAGACACTGTTACTGGGCTATTTGGACTTGATCTTCATAGCATTTCCACAAGTTTAAAATCTGCAAATCATTAAATAAACTCATTCTTTCAAATGGAAGTGCTTCATTTTCCATTTTCAAAGTAGGCTTTTTTACATAAATGAATATTTTAAATCATGAAACATTAAAAAGAATGTTTATCTCAGAAAGTTTACAGCTGTAAAAACAAAATAATGTGTGGCTTTAAAAAAAACAAACTGGGTTTTTTTGTGTAATAACATTAGTTGAGATAATCCTGGTGTTCTGCTTGTCTTTTGTGTTAGATATGAGCTCCTGAGACGTAAAATCCAGCAACCACTTGCATCAAATCCCCCTGAAGATTTAAATCTGTGGCACAATATTTACTCAGGAACTCAGTGGTTTTATGAAGATAAGGGTCTTAGCAGGTGAGATTACAAAAACTATAAAAACAAATGCTGGCATTTTGTATAGTGTATGTTTAATAGTTCAAAGTATTTCTTGTGTCTTTATGTAGTGAACATATTAATTATGTAATGAAATATTTTTTGTCATCATCTTTGGTATTAATCATTCTCATACGCAGGAATTTATTATTAGTCTGTCATTCCTGACTCATACATTGTTTTGCTCTGAAAAACAAATGAAAATAAAGATCTTGCGAAATTTTAGCATTGATATGCTCGTGCAATCAAAACATTTAGATTTATGTATGTATATGCTCTAGATTTGTGTGTTGGCAAAGTCATGGCAAAGGCAGAATGAATGTTTGAGAAGTCCTAGCTGGGAAACATTTGAAACTTGGTTTCAGCATTGTTTTTCTTACTTGGTTTTAAAATGCAAATTAACAGTTGCTTTAATATCTCCAAAGGCAAGAAGAGTATTTATTGCACTCTCAGCAGATCTAATTTAAGGGCAGCTTTGTGTTAGCTTCATTATGGTTAAATGCAGAGTGTTGGGAGTTCAGAAATGGGGGGTAGGTTCCGCTTCTCAGTATGTTACAGACCTACTGTGTGGTATAGAGCAAGGCATTTGCTCTTGATCAACCTTAGTTTCCGCACCTCGAAGTCAAGGCTACCACCCTTAAGACAAGCAGACACACACATTACGAACCTGTAATGGAAGATTCAACATGGATTCTGCACTGGTTTTTTGTAGGTAAAGTCTTGGGAAAACATTCATGGATGGTTTCAGGACGTGTGTGTTCTCTGTGCTTGTGGGCTGATGTGCTTTATGAGGACTACATGCCAGTCATTGCCCCTCAAATATCTGTACATTGCTTCTGCTTACTTTGATAAAAGCTGTGTGAGCATCCCTCCTGAGCACGATGTGAACCGGCAGAATGTGACCTCTGCTCCAGACTGTGGTATAGACCAAGCCGAGGGCTACTGCCTCTGGCTTGTTACTGCCTACTTGCTGAAAGTCACTGCTCATTTTCATCCTTTGCAATAATTGATCATGGAGCTGTTCTTTTACCCAGTCCTGGCCAAGTTCCATTTCTTTCTTAAACCATGTTTGAAATTCTACATAGAGTTTCCTTTGGTTTTAGTTTAGCTCATTTCAGCAGCGCTGATGTGTGCAGCAGTTATGTTAGCAGTTCAGAGCGGGTGATAAATTCTGACAGGGTCCCAGTGTCAAGTCATTAGGCACAATGACCTTTTGGGTTGAACGAGCTATGGCCAGAAAAGTGTGCCTAACCCTTAGATACACCTGAACACTTCTTTTGGAGAGAGTTCTGCAACTTGCATCTATGTTTTTGCAGTCAACAACTCAGGATGAAGGTGTGGCTGGAGAGATGCTGCTGCAGAGAGACACAAGCCTTATTTTTCACAGAAAGAAAATCCATATATCAGCATCTATTTTTATTTGTGTCATGTTTTAAGCATGTTTCAGAATTAGTGATTTTTTATTATATTCCTGCCAGAAGTTTATTTTCACAATGTTTTTTTTTTCAGATGGCTTTTTCATTTCTAGTAGGCTAGGCCAAACTTCTTTTGCTTTCACTGTTTGAAAAATGGATCTCAAATTCTCATCATTAAATTGCGAGAATAGATTCCATTCATCTTTGATTGCACCTGTGCTACAATGTCCAAGAGAATACTACATGTTTGCAAGCAACAGAAAGTGCAGAGAGAGAAATAAGATGTGTTATGTATATTGTCACTGTTCTTCTACCATGCTTATCATTACAGTTGGAGCTAGTTGAGATCCCATTAGTTTGCTTTCTTCTTAGTGGGACTGTTAAAGCTTAGCTCTTTTGAAAGTCAGACTGGATGGTTGCGTAATATAAAGTGCTATAGTAAAGCAATTAAAAAAAAAAAGTAAATATACTATGTGAGTGACTTTTCATTTTGTAGAGAAATCCCTAAATATTAGGCATTTGCTGTGTGTTCCTTTATTGCGTTTGTAGACAGCTATCCCAAAGTGCTGCAGCTTCGGTGAAAATTTGATCAAGACGATCCTGTGTTTCTGTGATTGCGTGGTTTTGTGGGGGGCTTTTTATGATGGAATTAATTTTGAGATTATGAAATCCCACTTAAAATACATTAAAATGCTATTTGATATAGAGAAGAAATTATGGAGTGAAAGTCACTTGGTTTACTAAATATACATGAAGTATTTAATAAAACTGTGTAAGTTGAATATACACAGTTCCGAAGAAAATTACTTTATTAAATGAGTTTGCATTCCTAGGTACTTTTTTTTGATGTTTTTGTTGTGGGAGAGTCTGGCTGTGTGGCGAATCACTTTTACAAATGAGACTCTGCAAGTTAAAATCAATGCGTTTCCCAAAAGAGGAAAAAAGCCTCATTTGATTAAATTCTGATCCAAATTTTGGCAGGTTGCCACTGCTGTAATTACATATTGAATTGAGCTATAATCTCTCAACACCTCAGAAGCTACAACTATGAAGAAGTGAAATAATGTGTTTTATTTTTGTTACCGCATTAATAGTGCTGAATTATTTCCAAAAAATAGACACCTCTTATGAAGTCTTCATTGGTGCAAACCATGCAGCTGCACTTGTTGGAGAGGGAGGGAAGAATCAGCAAAACTTTGGCACAGGTAGAAGGTTTACAGCAAGTGTTTTCTACGTCTGCATTTTTCATTCCATTTAATTATTTTTAAAATGTCTTAAGGTACACAACATACGAGTACAAGCTCATAGTGCACAACGAGGTAGGATATACATCAAGTGAAGAAGTGATAGCTACTACATTAGCGGGATTACCAGAGAAAGGAAGTCTCCTCATTGCACGTGCTGTTAATCATACTGCCGTAGAAGTGGAATGGTCAAAACCAAGTAAGTGTGCTTAGTATTTATTCCAGTAACTAGATGTTAACCTGCCATCACTTATGTTGGTCTGCCTTGCTCTCATAGGAAACACAGTCCTTGCCTTGATTTATGATATACCTAAGTGTCCTTGAAAGGAAAGGAAAGAAATAGGAAAAGAAATGTGCACATTTTGCTATTTCTCAGTCATGTTTGTATTTATTATATGCTATTTCTGCAGAATGAGAATAGTGAAAGTGAAGAAATAGTTAATGCAAACTCATGAGAAATCTATACAGTAGTGGTACACAAAATCCTGTTGTCTTTGTGGTGTATTTAATCTCTTTGTATGAAAATTTACATATATATTCCTTCAGGATGAGAGGATCCCCTTTCTCTCTCTTTTTGCTCTGCTCCTTAAAATGAATTTAGCCAATTTCTGTAGTTGGTTTGCTAATAAGCAGTGGGGAATTTCTTCATGACTTACATGCAAATGATTTTATAAGGACTGGGTGCTGTATTGCAACTAATGTAGTCTCTTTATTTTATAATTGCATGCCTGAAGTAAGCATGCTTATAAAAACTGACAAATGTAATAGATCTGAAGCAGCTCACTGAAGTTTCATTACCTTAGTAATCTAAACCCCTGACCTTCTAGATGTAGGTAATGCAATCTGGTTTTATTTTCATTCATACCTTAGAAATTTCCTTCATATATGTTTGTGAATGCAAAGGTTAAACACCAAGACAGGGCCATTTGTTATTTGAAAACCTTATCGTATTTTATTACTTCTTATGTTGCAATAAGCATATTAACTATTTTGTATACCCATGTTTCATTTTTTCAAAATATTAGTTTTTAAAGGATTTTCTTGTTTTCTTTGGGAACTTGGGAGACCTTAATGTAAGTTGCCTTGCTAGTTTTCTTTTTCTGGAAAACCTACAGTTTCTGACTTCTAAGGATTTAGGGCTTGTATCTGTACCACTTAAAATAAAAATAACATATCACTCTTGATTAAGAATTTCTATGACAAAACTGTGTACTATTAAATCTGAAAATATGCTTTTGGCTTTTATCAATGCTATTTACCAGTCAGCTGAGTCCTGATCAGTGTGTCATTTAAAGCAATATGTATCAGTGCTTAAAGTTTTTGTCATAAATATTCTTTTCATCTTGGTGCCTACTGGAAACGCAGTTGCATTTGATCAGATCTGAACGTAACTGTTTGACAAAGGACAGATAAGATAACAGACTATATCTGAGTTACTAAAATGGAGAAGCGAGGCTTGCCTGGAATCCTTGTTTATCCACCAGCTCAGACCAATGAATGTCCTTCCCTGTGTAGCCAGAAAATCGTACTGGTTTTTTTTCCTCATTTCACTGGGGAAGCTAGTGCAGGGCAAAACACATTTTAGGAAGAAATGTGAAGAGTTGGTTTTTTCCCCTGTAAATATAACGCTTCTGAGCGTATTACAGCTTTACATGTACGTGATGCTATCATGCTTGCTCTAAAATAATAACATGTAGACTTTCATTTTCACTATGGCCAAAAGGTCGTCTGTGTAAAGTTGAATGTAACTATAATTTAAGACATAGGCACTTGCCCCTTATTCATGGCTAGAGGACTAACACAGGAATTCCATACTTTTGGGGTAGGGTAGGGATGTGGCTTTTGAAGGGAAGGAGCAAAAAGGGAAAAAAAAATCTTTGAGGTTTCCATCTTAAACTAGTGCCACAGAGCAGTCTGATTTGCTCTCTCCCTTCTCTCTGGGTGAAAGCCATCCTTTCGCAGTGACAAGCTTCAAGGTCTGCACACCACTGCTAGCAGTGGGTTTCACCTATTAATTTGTTTACTTCACAGATTCCATTGTCATCATGGGGATGTCTAGAGAAAGAAAGCTTTCTCCAGTGCTAGATAGAATGATGAACTGTTAATAATTTTGACAAGTTTGGAAGAGCAGTCTGCATCTCTGCTTATAAGGGTGAAATTGAAGGCACCTGATGGAATCTTTGCTTTTTTTTAAATAAGTGGGTCTGCATAAAATTTGTTTTTCTCTTCACAATAAATGTTGTTGATAAAAGACTTGCTGAATATTTACCAGTTGATCTCCCAATGTTTTTCCTTTCTTTTCTTAGCACTACAAGATTTGCAAGGAGATGTTGCATATTACACCCTCTCCTTGAATTCTACTGATGACAGAAGATCTCTGAGGATTGAGGCTGATGTAAACTCTATAGTCATAGACGATTTGCAGCCCAACACAGAGTATCAGATATTTTTTCAAGTTTTTAACGGAGCCCACAGCATCAACAGTGAAGTTGTGCATGTGACTACTTCAGATGGAGGTTGGTTAGCAGTGAATGCGGCTTGGCTTAAAATCTGAGAATTGATTGATTTTTGTTAGGGTTGAGATCAGTCATCCTTCCATTATAAAATTTCCGGTATAAAGGGAAAAGGGCTAAAACGCTTAAGTGCTGGTTGTCATCATGTGGTAGATCAATAAACGGTCCCACTGAGACAGAAGCAAAAGCTCTAATAGCAGATATTAACCCAGTTTGTTCTCATCTTCTCCTGCATACTCCTATCTGTGTGCACTAAGTTTAGAACAGAGTTCATATCAATAAATGGTGGAATTTAGAAACAATTAATGGGTTTTGTAAAAGATTTGCTCTGTGGAGCAATATGCTTTTGACATGACAGTCATACACAGGGCCTTTCCTGAGTCACCAGAAACTCTAGGCGTAAGTTCAGCCTCAAAGAAAATTCTTTATGAGTAATTTCTATGTCAGTGGGCAAGTGTGGGGGGAGGGGCAGGGGAAGGAATAAAATAAAAAAATAATTGTGAATTTGAAATGTGTTTAGAATGGTCTTTCTAATCTTTTTGCTTTATAAAGTCTCATTATAAACATTATAATATCATTACCTCAGAAGCAAGTGTTCCAGGTCATTAGCAAAGCACTTTAAGTGAGGATTCCATTTCCTTTCTGATGCCAAAGGTCAGCACCTTTTGTTTATAAAATAGAATCGATTGCAAGGACAATTTTTCAACTGGTAAAGATGGGTTCTTATGATAAAAATAGGTCTTTGCATGGTTATTTCTGACATGCTTAAATAATTATGTAATTTAATGCTAAGGAAGGTGTTGGTTTTTTTTTTTTTAAATAAGTGTTAGACTTCATCATTATCTATAGTAATCAACATTCAAAAGCATTTACATAATGACAATATTGCATATTGCTTCATAGAACTTCAGCTGTGAGGCTGGTAACGTCACATTCCACCAGACATAAAGTATTTTGGTCTCAGGTTTTGCTTTAAAAGCAAAATGCTCTGGTTTTCTCTTTCTTTGGAAGGGTTAGGATTGGGGAGACATAAAAATAATGTTTCTATGTTGGTAGTGCAGATGGGTGAATAATTTATCATCATATCTCACTGGCCACATACTACTGATGATTGACACTATGCTGCTGGTATAAAGCATTTTACCATCAGCTCTCATGGTTTCTAACTGAGAGTATAATAAGCCAATTTACAGAAGACTACAGACTGTGATAACTTCATCAGAGGAAAGCAGATAAGCAGTGAACCCTTTGCTAAACCTAAATACTAATCTGCATTTGGTTAAACAAGTGCTTTTGCAGAGACAGCTGGAGTTTATTCAGTTTCTTCCTTTATTTCTAGAGCCTGAGGGCATGTTCCCTCCAGAGGTTGTCATCATCAACAGTACAGCTGTACGTGTCATCTGGACATCGCCTTCAAACCCAAATGGTGTTGTCACAGAGTACTCTATCTATGTAAATAATAAGCAGTACAAGACCGGAATGAACGAGCCGGGGTCCTTTCTTTTAGCAGATTTGTCTCCATTCACTGTATATGATATACAGGTTAGAATATCTTTTTTGCATTGTGTAAGATACTTTGATTTTACATAAAATATGTGTATTTCCAAGCAGAATATTGTTTCATGAATTTCTTTACATACATGGACATATATTTACACTGATGTTTGTGTGTATATACATACAAGGCATAAATTTATTTTCAGCATATTTTAGGTCTGTGTACACTTTCCGTAATACAAATTTCCATTATCTTTTTTCAAACCATCAAAACTCCATTTACTTTCCCCTAAATGCTCTGTGCTACAACATTAGCAAAGCCTCAACATATATTACAAAGAGGCAAAGATACTACTCCTACTCATTAAAAGAAAATTGCAATTGTTTTAGAAACATCAGGCATGCATAATATATTAGCACAGAGAAATAATGATATTGCATTTGTCATCCTTTTATCATTTTTTTTCTCCTTATCCTTCTGAGGAGGAAGCAGAGCTGATCTCTGAAATCATAGTAGTACATTTTATGCTATTAATAAGTACAATATTTTTTCTTTGCTTTTCCCTTTCTCTATCTCTATTCATATATCTAATGAAAGGCAAAATACTGTGTGCAGAATAAAAAAAAAGAATACATAATATCTTTCTATCCTTAAGTTGTATTAATATCTTCAAGAAATGCAGTTTGACACTTAATTGTAACTATACCTGTCTACTTCATTCAGGTGTGGTTTGCATTATATATGAGAAGGACTTAGTAGTACCATGTATACTTAGTTCTGAAAATTTGCATCCAGTTACTACATGCCATAAATAAACATTACAGACAGGCATACCGTAACAGATTTCTATGTTCCGGCCCCACTGAAACAGCAAACCTCCATCCATGAATACACGTATGACTTTCTGAATGCCACTTTGAAACCCATTTGTCTTTTCTCAATAACAATGCAAATTCAGTGTACTGCCTTACTTATAGACCCTCTATATTAATTTACCATGGCCACCTTCTGTTGCTTGAGATGTTAGTTATTCCTCTCTTCTGTTTTTCTAGTCTTTATACTGGACTTACATTTGCATTAATGTGATAGGTAAAACCGAAATTAGCTGTTGGTTTTTTTTTTTTTTTTTTTTCCTTTTGATTCTTTTTCTTCTTGTCCTGGAAACAATATTATCTTGGATGCATGTGCATCTCACTGCTAATCTTACTGCATTATCTTTCATTTTTTGTGCTCTTTTATTTTGAGTAACTTCTCTGTTGACAATACAGAAACAATGTTACCATCCTTCACTAGCTATTTCACTTTGCCTCTGCTTAGTTTAATCCCGAGAATTGAAGGAATAAGTTTTTACTTCTGTGGCATTTTTCATAGCAAACTGTATGATTCCTATTTGCATGTTTCACTTTTAATTTTGCAGAATAGACATGAAGGAATAGAAAATATTAAGGAAAAATTATCCTTATTTTTATGTCAGAATATATGGTGGGTGTAGAAAACTTACTCAAGGCCCCAAATCAAAGTACGTACTTTTTTCAAAGTACCAGATTCTGCATATACATACAGAAAAACAAATTCACTGCAACTCTGTTGGCAATAATTTAATAAAGAACAGCAATTAGTGCCAGAGGGCTGCATGTACCCTTTCTTTGAAAGTGGTGTGGGAAAGTGTGATACAGTGCAGTATGTCTGTGGTAGATATACTTATCTCAAAGCTGTGGTATTTTCCTGACTGTGTGGAATCTGTTAAATAGAAAAGAATAAAATCTTGGGTGAAGAGAGAAGTCTAAACAGAGCAGAGCTGGATAATTTCTGCAGCTGAGTATGTGAAACTCATGTTCTTCTTCATCAGATTGAAGCCTGCACGGTGTATGCCTGTGTGAGAAGCAATGGGACCCATATTACGACTGTGGAAGATGAGCCAAAGCAGCTGTCAGCACCCATTATTCACATAATTGGCTCAAGGTACTATGCTATAGGTGGCTTTCATATATCAGAGTGATTTGTGGCTGGAATGGGGACCAGAATGTAAGGTTGTCTTCTCTCAATTGAATAAGGTGCATAAAAGAATTCAGTATACATTTTGAAAACGTTTTACATGGTTGTTATTTTTGGTCTTGGAGTTTTTGGCCAAAAGAGCAACTGAAGAAATCTCACCCTTGGTTGATTGCACATACCCATTTGGGTATCACTGTGCTGTGATAATAAATAAAGCGTAAGTGGAAGCAGTTAAGAGAAGAAGTGTAGAGGAATGAAAATTATCACATTTTGCTGTCAGTTAAGAAGAGGAAGATTAATGCTCAGGGAGCAATGCGATGCTGATAATGGAAACTTAGAATAATTATGGGTAGAAAAAAGTCACCTCTCACAACAGTAGGAATTAGTAAGCTATCTTAAAAGGCATTCATATCTATGTCTCCTTGAACCACTGTTTGCAATCTGCCTATCCACTACATCCACAGGCATGGGCAAACTTCTTAATTGTAAAGGGAGCATCAGATTTGCAGTCCTTAGAAGCAGCCAAATAGTAACATATACAGTGATTCTTTGGGAGTTAATATCTTCCAAAGACAGACTAAAACTAAGCTAGCTAACACATTTTTCAGAATTACACCAACAATAAGACTCCTGTGTGTATGTTATTGTTCATGTGATTTTATTACACTTCTGGTGGGGTATGCTCATTAGCAGTATTTTTTTTTTATAGAAAGAAAAAAAAAATCTTCTTTTTAAAAAACAAAAATCTAACATCTGAGCCTTCAGAAATGGCCAACAGAAGGGATGTGCTTCTCCAATCTCTTACGGACTTTGGTTTGCTGTTTGTCATTTCTACATTTTGCTTGAATTCAGCATTTGTCTCTGTATAAGGGTGAAATTAAGCTTGCTATTTTTCAGTCACACATACAGATACAGTCAAAGCTTGTTTGATGATAAGAACTCAATTCAGGATTTCATCTTTTGCCCTTGGCTTTAACTTATGTATGCCTTTGTCTGTATTGTCTGTACTGCAAACACTTATGCATGTTTCTGCTATTATATATAGACTAAATATGTCATAACACATGAATGCAAAAGGATCAAAAATGCTTTCCTATTTATAATCTGCTCAGCCAGAAACAGACTCTGTTTCTACACTGCCTTTTCCTACATGTCATATTATCATCAGCTGTTCTTATATCCCAAAAGAATACTAACTACTGATCGATTGCCCGGACATGTCTGGCCGTGGCCTACACGTGCCCCGGGTAGTTCATTTATTTGCCACGGTGGATTTGCTAGAGTGGAATTTAATCAATAGCTAATTCATTAATTCTGGTCCTCGAGTATGTAGGGATTGTGCAGTATAAAAATGACTGGCTGGCTTCAGCTTTGACTGAAATATGACAAACACTACAGCTGACAGCTTCAGCAGGTGCTGGGCTGAATATGAATTTTGCTTATTTATCCTCCATAAAAGAAAAAGCTTGGGCAAAAAAACAGTTTATGTAGACAAGAGGACATCATCAGACAGAGAAAAAAGGCATTCCTAGAGTATAGGCTCATGGGATACCTGAGATATAATCCAGACTGCGGTTTATTGTCTTTAATCGGAATCATGGCGGTTTTCCTTCTTCTGAATCGGTTTGTGGGGCTGTATTATTGATGGGAACGCTGTAGGATAATGTCTTTGTAGCATTCACAAATAATTGTTTTAAAATTTGCCTCAAGGTGCTGCATGACATAAATTATAATTTCACCCACCAACTTCTTAGAAGTCTTTCTGATAGCAGCTCCATCCACACTGTTCTAATGAAGGTTATACCACCGGAGCCATTATAAATACCTTTCTTTTCCACCCCTTACAGTTAATAACTCAGCTTCAGGCTGAAACTTGGCACAAAAGGTCACGGTCCTGGAATGATTATTTTATAATGCCAAACTTCAAATAGAAAACAGTATGAGACCCAGTCCTGAAGTCCTAAGTCAGGTTCTGGTGTGTTATGTTTCTTGTCTAGGTTTTGTTTTTTTGGAGGGGGGTGTCATTGGCCATCTTTAGGTAGAAACAAATGCTATTGAAATCAAGTATGCATTTTTTTTTTTATTAGGACCTCAGGGTTTGTCTCTATAGAGAAGTATTGTATTTTACTGCAGAGATGAGAAAGTTCTCTGAGTGCTGTATGCATGTGGATGCTGGCTTAAAGTTTGTGTAGTGGATCAAATTCTCGTGGTGTGTTGGAAAATAGTTCATTTACCTTTAAAATAGTTTTCTTCTTTCTCTTGTTCCTTGTAATACAGCATGCTTATTTTTTTCCTAATAACAATACTTAGTAGCAGCTTTGTTTCTTTCAGAATGCACAATGCAGATGAACCCTGTGAGAAATTCTGTTCAGTGCTTAATTAAAAGGTTGATGGCTCTGAAAACACCATGTGGCATAAACTAGGGAAAATCCTTCAGAGCTTCATGAAGGAAGAGAGGGCCCTTTATGTGCCTTGGGGAAACCAGAAACTATGGTCAGGGTGTAATAGAAAGCTCAAAGAAGATAAAGCCGTGGGAGAAAAGCTAGGTGAATTATTTGGTTTGATGTTCAGTATCATGGAGCCTGGGAAGATTTCTGTATCAGATGCTGTTCGTGGGTGAATGAGCTGGAGGAACTATCTCAAATTAACATGTTAGTGAGAAAGATTTTAGAACAATTGGATAAAACATATAGTAGTAAATTGTTGTGATGATGGTACTTGCTTACGAGTTCTAAAGGAGCTCAAATATGAAAGTGTCAAACTACTGTGCTGTGTAAAATATCCTTTAAATTGATCTTGGTACCGGAGGAATGGAAGATGAAGCAATGTAGTGCAGATTTCTCCAAGGGGATCTGGGGAACTAAAGACGAGTAAGTCTGATTTTCCATACTGGGAAAATAGGCAAAAAGTACAAATAAAGGGATTCATAACTATGTGAATAAACATGAAATGCTGGGGAAGATTGCTGTGGAGTCAAGTCCAGCCTGTGTGTCCAGGCAACATACAAAGTCAGGTTTCCCAAGTATGCTTAGTTTTATAGCCCTTTACCTGAAGTGTCTAAGGCAGTGTTCCCATGCAGAAAACCTGATCGCTCTCGCTACTTTAGTAATGGGAAAAACAAGGCACAGAAAGATTTCACAGAGAAGTTGGTAGCAACAGTAGAAGCATAATGCTATTTATTGGACTTTCTGTACTGTGTCATGCTGCCTCTCTAATTATTTTAGCACTGCAGTCCACGATACAGCAGGTATCGTTAACTCCTCTGCAATAAGGCTGAAGCAGTTGCTCAGTGTGTGTGATCTTCTCATGAGGAAAGTATTTCATCCACTGGTCATTACTAATAGCAGCGTTCCCTATCTTAAGAAAGTCAGGTGAATCTTGTGATTTTTCTGTGACTTTTTTTTAATTCCAGCTCCTGAAAGTGAAGTCATTGAATCTTAGATTTGGTGTGATTTTTTCAAATTTAAGTCTTGTATTTGAAGAGACTAATACAACATTTGCTCTCAAGATTCAAAAGTGAGGCCTTGTTATATTCTTAATCTTGATGGTTTTAAACCTTTACTATTGAGTGGAGGAAAAAAAATCTGGAGTTCTTTTGATGAAGCTGGTGATACTTGAAGCAGGCAAAAACCAGAATTTCTTTTCCAAAGTCTGGTTTACCAAAATGTGTCTGATGTTATATCAAACGTGAAATACTGATATTTTTTTCATGGGCATAAAAAAAAATATTTCTACCTGGAAATGTCAGAACGAATTGTCTCCACATGCTTGAGCCAAAGGATTTCAGTTTGCTCTGTTGCACCAAAAGCAAATACACCTTTGTGGATCAGTTTGAAATTGTTCTTTATCTCCTGGAAGTGCTGCAGTGCCTCATGGACCTTGTAGTCTGAAGCAGTTCTTTTCTGTGAACCTGGTTAGGCTGCTTTTTCTCTGGGAGGTGAGCCCTACCTTCAGTATCTTCGCTGCATTAACAGCAGTCACAGAAGGGACTCATCCAGCATTTGAACTATCATAAATGGCACATGCTTGGAATGAAGTTTTCTCTGGGCAGACAGGGGCTGTACACCACATGCCAGGTGTTGTACATCTGTCTGTGCCCAGAATTTGCAAGTCTGCTTCTGTAGTTTGGGCTGTGGGTACTTACCTGCATAGACACAACTCTGGTTTACCTGAGAGGGAGTAACTGGGGATGAAGGGAAGGAGAGGGCGGGCAGGCTCTGTCCCCATGTTTCTGCAGCTGTATCAAATGCACCGTACGTGATACAGCTCAATGCATGCTAAAGTAAAGGTTCTTAGCTCAGCCTGGGTTATTTGTTCAGATGGGGGGGTGTGTCAAAAAGCCTCTGCAGTCCTGTGAAAACCCTGCTGATTTTTTTAAACTGAGCTATGCATTGTTCTTGCTGTCATGCTTTCAAAACCACCACAATTTGCCATGGGTGGCAAACATCAGAAGGTGTAGACGTAACTGAAAGATTCATAAAATTGTGGAGTCTGCTTATCAGTGAGTCTTTATTGGAAGGTCATACTAAGTTTTACCCTTTCGGTGGCACTCCCATGCCATGTAATTTTCTTGTGCAGCTGCAACTTTACACAATACCTGGCTATAACCATCCCAAATGTGTATCTATAAATTGAATAATAATAAAGTGATTGCTTGTTAAAAGAAAGAAATACATGCTGAGCTCTGCAGAAAAGGCAAAATGTTCAAATCATGGTACCAATTCTTAAGCCTAATATGAAATTATTTTCGAGAGAAATATGACTTGCAAAGCTGCAAAAACTGGCGCAATACTTTGAAAATATACTCTTGAGGGTCTGAATGAAACTTGCAGAAAGCAAATAATTAAAAAATATGAATGGAAATGCTTTCTTTGCTCCTGTGATCTCTGTCGTGCAAAGACCAGGAGAGTTACAACAGCATTTTTAAAGATTGAAGTACTACCCTTCTTTTCCTTTTCTTTTTATCTTTTTTTCTGAAGTTTATACAATATATTTTCCTGCTTTTATGTTTTTAAGTTAGGTCCTGTAACATTATTTAAATATAGACATTTGTGTATGTGCGGGAGTGTGTGTTCATGTGCACGTGGTAGAGTGTCTAGTGAATACAAAATGGCCATGTACGGAATATGGAATTAAATCTATGGTTCAGATGAAGACCTTGGAATGATAATGGTGACTCTACAAGTCACCTATGAAGTTATTCCTTCATAGGTGACATTAATTCCTGTTCTGCAAAGGCTTATTGCTGTGTGTATTCCTCTGTTTATACCTCAAGGAAGTGAAATAATAATTCAGTTATTTTTATTCTGTTAAGATGTCAAAGTTTATCTCAGCAGCTGCTGTTTCACTGTAACATTTTCACTTTACATTAATGCTAATTTATGATGTCACTGGCATTCTGACAGTGGCTGTGTAATTGGGACATGGAGATTAAAAAGAGGTACTTGGAGCCTAAGTATATACTATGCAATGTTGTCAGTCCTCCTATTGATCCACATGTAGCATTCTCTCTACCCAAAGAGAATCATAGTGAAAGAAATTTGTCTTATGCAACATTCCAGAATGATTATGCAAGAAATGAAGTTTTCGTGTGAAATACCAATGTAAAATGTGTACATTATAAAAGAGCAAATTTCTGTTTCAAATGTCCCTTTTGATGTTTGTTTGGTTGGTTGGTTTTTTAAATTGTAATATTAAGTGAGATTTGGGAGCCAATATCTGCACGTTTTAAGTAGTGACAGGCATGCTACAGTTTAACATTATTTTTCCCTTAAGATACTTTATTCCTTAAACTGGTGATGGTCTGATATCAAACCTGAAATCAGCAACAGGATTTTGTTTTACAGACAGTCTTTTGCTGGCTGCTGCATTTGTGCTTTTGTGCTCAAAGTCAGAAGTCTTGAGCCTTACTTGTGATAAACACTTGCATTTTATACTTCTAATTTTATGTCAATGGAAATATTTAAGCACAGAAGAGAGCTAGTCCTTACTGATGCTGTGATGAGTTCTTTCTTTTAAATCTGTGCTGAAGAATACATTTCAAAGCAACGTACATTTTTTGTATAATGTTTTTGAAAGCAGGGAAAAGGCAAGATGAATACAAATCTGTTCTAAATAGTGACTTGAGCACAATGTGAGTAAGCTGCACTGGCGACAACTCAGAGGGCAGGGGTGGTCCTTTGCCCCCAGCTGCCCATCCTCTACCAGATTCCTATCTGAAAATGGAACGGTCGCGCCAGCCCTGGCAATAGTTCACGCCTTTGCTATAGCACCAGGAAGGCATACGGAATCCTTTCTCCTACCACTGAAATGAAACGAGTAAAAAGTTAGAAAGTTTATTACACATAAGTTTCCAGAAGCATGAATGAGATGTCTTTCAAATAGCAACCTTTAAGGACTTGGATTGCATGTGTGATTTATTATCCTAGAGTATTAGCACATATTGACACTTTTTTCAAACTTTTACACCTTTCAGTTATTAAAGCAGCTGTGAAATTCACCATCCAGAGGAACATTTTGGACACTTCAAAATGTTTCACTCCATGTGAACTAGTATAAAATAGAACTACTATATGCTAATCCTTTAATGTAAGTATCCAGAGAAGCATAAATACTTTCAATAATTTAACAGATGGTAATTTTCTGCTTATTGTAGATCTCTTCAAATCAACTGGACATCACCAGAACAGCCAAATGGCATTATCCTGGGATATGAATTACTACGTAAAGCGTGGCAGAGGTGTACCCCATCAAAGACTCCAAGGAGCAGCAAAAGTAATAGAATGTGCATCTCATTAGAATGTAAAAAGCATGAAAATATCTGTGGAGAAGTGTGTTATCATCCAGAGTTGAAGGTACATGTATATCCTTAAGTTAGCAGTGTAATGAAAAATTATACTTTTAGGAATAAGTGTGTAAACCAAACCTCTTTAATTATCAGTGGAAGGGAAGTGGAGGGTTCTGCTTCTTCTGATATTTTAAAATCAAGGCTCTGATACATGTCGTGAAACTTTTTAAAATCAAATATGGATGTTAGAGCTCGCTACAGGGATAGCTGTGCAAAAATCTCTAGCAGTGTATGTGCGTCAGCTGATGACAAGTGATTCTATTGTCTTAAGTCTGTGATTGTTGACTTTATTTCTCCTTTCAGAAGAAATGAATTGGCTAGCGTTTATGAATGTGTCTTGCATTAACACTGGTTTGGAGCAGTAGTGCAGTTCTGAAGTGAATCCCCAAATTGTTTTCATTTACTACATGCTGGTTCAGTGTAGAAGTGGTTTTAATACATGTGAACTAAATCCCTTGCACAGGAAGCTAAGCCAGAACCTGTGTTTCAAAAACCCTTCAAATATGCTTCAGCTCTGGATGGGGACTTTAGGCTCCCAACCAGTCTGTGAACCACCTCACTTTGCAAGCATGTATCTGAAGTTTCTTCCTTCAGAAAGCTTTGCTCCATGTGTAGTAGTGCAGATGTTCATCCCAAGGAACCAGGCTGTATCTGATCCAAAGTAAAACTCACAAGCCACGTGTAATGGAAGTGTGAGGAATCCCAGTACCAACCTCTTGAATCCACTGATCCAATCCCATTGTGCCAAATTACGTGGTGGGTATATATGTATATAGATCTCTCTATGTATTTTTGCATCCCGCTTAGAAGAATCAGTTTTGCTCAGCTGCGTGCCATAGATCACACACTGTAAACTACTAGAGGAGATTCTTTGTCAGCTCAAGCATTCAAGTATCTGTGGAGCATATGATGGTAGTTCATATGGCTCCTTTGGCATAAAGTGATCGCACAGGACCACTTAAAGGCCATGGGAAATTTTCTAGGTGTATGCAGAATTTCAAAAACACTAGTAAAACTATAAAGCTTCTCTCTGTGTGAGGAATCATTCCTCAAACCCTGCATGGCAAAGAGTTGTCATTAACATGACTTGCTTTTTTTTTCCCTCCCCCCCTCAAATTCTTCCTTGGCTAAATGCGTAATGACCAGATTCTCCAGTACAGAAAATCTATTTAGATTCAGCTACAAGTGGGTGGCTGTTACATGACAATGATGAGCAGCTCTGAATGGGATCCATTGTGATTTGTCAGATGTATTTTTAAATTATGGCTATTTTCAGGTTAATCTTCATATGAGTTCCTGTTTAGGAGTAGGATCAATAGCGTAGTGGGAGTCTGTAATGGTTTTTATTGACAAATGAGGTAGAAAACTCTTAGTTTGAAAGTAAGATTTAATGTAATGAAATTGTGTCCCTATTTGTCAAAGGCATCATCACATGTTCCGTGACTAAAGCAAACAATATTCACAAGATTCCCTGTCAGACAAGACGGTAATTAAGGAAGTGAGCTATTTGAGGGGTTCAAATCAAAATATAAATTATTCCAGCCAACACAGCTTTAGGTTTTGAGTTCCCTTGAAAGCAATATTATACTAAACATATGTATTTCTGAAATCTTGCAAGTGAATTATGGGAAGTCCTTTGTTCTAAAAGGTAAATTTACTTATTTTAGGGTTTTGGCATGGTAGAATTTTTAATAGATCTTGGCATATGTATGAGTTAAATTTGTATTATATTAATTTTAGAAGATTTCTTCTCAGTTTTTATTTTTTCAGCCTTTATGCATTTATGGTAACTTAGAACTTGGAGAGTGTCCATTTATTTTTATAGCTTCCTGACTTTTGAATTTTTTCTAATTAATTTTGCATTATTTTGTTATAACGGTCTTTCTGTATTCTCAGAGACTGTGGTTAGGAGTGGGTGCTATTTGGTTAAGTAATGAATATGTAATAAACAACTGGAAGATCCACAGGAACCTGAAGCAGTCATACATAAGATGACATGGGAGTAATTTTTGTGGGTGAATTGATTGAAATTCCCCTCCCAATGCTTTGCCTGGTTTGCTCTGTGTATCTGCACTAGCCATCCAAAATGTCTGTAAGAGATATCTACAGAGCTCCTGGCACATCCATGTTCCTCTTAAACTAGAGGGACAGCATCAGACCTTATGTGGCAGCCCTCTGTCACACTTTTATATAACTCACTGTCAGTCTATGCCAGCGATAATGCTGAAGCATTTATGCTAGTCTCTGTGGTCCTTAGATTCGACAGTCTACTGGACAGAAGTGAAGAAAAGCAACACTGACCAGTGTACACTTGTTCCGAAATGAAAGCCTCTTATCAGAGTGCCAGCTGCTGTTCGCCATACATTAATTGTACAGCAAAATGCAAAGAGATGCCACTGAGAATTAAATGCTGAGCAGCCTAAGTAATGTTCAGATCCAGAATAATAAACAAGTTTTTTGTTCATTTGATGATAGGCTGGTCAGCAAAAGCAGGCAGATTGTATATGTGTAGTTCCACTAGACAAACAGGTTGTGGAGTTCTCACTTTGCTCTGGTCATTTATTGCACCTTGTATACAAGACACAATGGATCTAATTCCACTCTTACAATTTCTTTGAATTCAGGAATATAAAGTGAGAGGAAAAGTAGGCCTTTTATACAAAAATAATTTGGAGATATGTCTTGGGCTATTTATTAATATTTCCTTATGGATTTATGGGTGACATTTGGCATTATCAGCTTGCTATTGCAAGACACTGCAGAAAAAGAGGGATTTGTTATTTCTTATCTACATAAGAGATATAATCCCCTCCATCTATAGAAACCAAAGTGTTTCAGTAATAGGAATACAAGGGTGTGTTTCTACTGCACAGCAGAAAGGGATGCAGAGACTCTTCAGCTGACGTTGGCTGAGTTGGGACCAGCTAAGTAGCACAGTTATATCAGAAAGGCAGTGCTGAATAGCCCGGGTGCAGGGTTGCACTGGTATATGTGTGCTGCGTTTGGGATCCAGGTTAGTATCTCTGCATAGCACTGTGCTGTGTAAATAAAACAACTTGCTCAGAGCTGTCTTGGGAATCTCTAAAAGAGCAAATGACCTTTTCACTACAAGGGGCATGTGTACATGCACATTCATGGACTCATGTAGGCCTGATATTAAGCCTAATAAAGACCAAAACAGATTCCTGCTATCCTAAATAATCTTTGCATCAGATCCCTACTTCTTGTTTCTAGTTATTGTCTGGTTTTCTGCTTCAATGTTAGAAATCTTTGTTATTTTAACCAAGCTAACACAGTGCTGTGCCTGGTATCCTTACCCTGGTGTTTGTAATCAGACTTGGATTATAATTCTTGAGTGCAGAAAGAATTTAGAAAGGGTTTTTTGCATGTAGTTTTGCAGAAAAGCTGAGAATACACTCTCATGATGAATTTTGTCAGCTGCCAGGAGGGTCCCTATGTCCTGTGTACCTTTTACAGTAACAGACCTGCGCTGCTTGGGTGTTTCCAAGCTGCCAAAATTGACAGTCTTTTCCTAGCTGTTTTCAGTAAGGTGTGATCCATAACTCTATCCATATCTGAAATCTCAAAACAGACATCAGCATACAGAGCACATATCACGAGATCTGCAGAGGTGTACTTCAATTAACAAGGAAATGTGCCCTAGCTTCACCCATCAGGGAGCATAATCTCAGTGCTTTTTTCATTCCTGTATTATCCGTGTAGCTTCCAAACTGTCCTTCTGTTGTTACTGGCATCCTGAGGTGAACACTGAAAATAATGAGACAGGTACAGTAAAAAAGTAATTAAAATAGTGGCATAAAGGCTAATAATTTCTGTACACAATGGATCATGAGTATGAACAACAACAGTTAAAAGGGTCCTGACTGAAGGTGTTAATACAGCTTCGGCACTTTTGATTTCCAGTAGCAACAAGCTGTATAAATCTGCAGTTAATGAACTAATCGAATATAACTCTGACATTATTAAGAAGTACAGGCTTACCCCTTTACTCATCAGAGTTACCATGTGCCATTTGTTAAAAACACCAGCAGGACTCTTCTCTTTAAGGACAGGAGGAGCAAAATGGTGGCTTGACAGCTAGCCTCAAAAGCACAATTTTCAGGAGTGAAAACTAACACATCTCGACACTGATGAAGGATATTCCATCGATATTTATGTAAAATTTACTATTAATGCTAGCAATATCGTGCAAATTCTTTTCAAGTTCTTTCAGGCTTAGAGAACATTTAAAAAGATAACACTTCATGTATAGTGTGTGTTGTAACACACCTGAACGACAGGAAATGAAACTCATTTTAGTAAGATAATATATAGTGATTTGTAACAGAATAACAATAATTTGTGCTCATGGATTTTAGATCTAAGGCTGTACCAATTACCAAAACAGAACAGCAGTTCGAGAAAAAAAACAGGTGAGTAAGTATACTTGGCAAAAAAGGGTGTCTATACAGCTTCAGAGATAATTTAAGTAAAAAAGAATGAGCCTTGCTAATTTAAAATATTCTCTCTCACATGAGAACATGATGGGTCAATCATTACTCTGGTGTTTGCTCCACAGGCAGAAATTTTTAATGAACTCCTGTAGCTAATAGGAATTCCTTAGAGTGTTTTGTGAATTGCCATTTCACAAAGTGGCTCTGGCAGCAAGCGTTTGACAAGAAGGATAAACATGGCTGCCCAGCACATCTGTTTATTTGAGTAAATCAGTCCTAGCTCAACTGGCATGTGTCCATAAGGCCAGATAATATCCTTCAGCAAAGTCTTCAGCAAGCAGAGGGATCAGGGATGACACAATTTTAATTAAAAGAGAATTTCATAGATAAGTTTGGAGTATTTTTAAAAATTGTTAAAATATTGTGTAATCCTGCCTGCCAGATTTGATATCTAGTTACCCTGTGCTAGCATCGTGGCTAACGGGGCCCTTCTTAGGTATCATAAGGGCCAGCCCTTCCCGGTCCCTGCGCTCCTGGGTCACAGTCCCTCTGTGGGCTTGGATGGGAGAATAACTACAGGACTGACTCGTGAGTGACTCAGTCTATCAATATTTTTAAGGGCTCCCATGATAGCTAAGGATGAACATCTTGTATCATCTCCATAGACAGTAAAGATCTTCTGGCTAGCAAGCACACATCAAGCATTCAACCCTCTGTACGAGGGTGAGATCTCCGACCTGCCTAAAATGTTGGTGTCACTCTATCTGGTCGCTACAAGGCTTCTACTTTCATGTACCTAGTAACACCATCCAGTTGGGACTGTCACTTTTAGATCTAAGAGGATGAGATAATAATAACCTTTTGCCACTATAACTTTCAATCCATCTGCTTTTCTTCTTTGTCTATGACATAATTTTAGCATTACTTGAATGCATTTTATTTTATGGATTGATAATGCAGAATCCTTGGGCTGAATATCAATGCAAATAGACACTAACTATCTTTAGAGGACTGCCAAAAAAGTGTTATTTAACAATTTACAGCTGACTGCAGAGGATTTTATGGAGCTACATAATAATAGCACCAACTATATCAATCGGTAATGCCAGAGGAGAGTCTGAATGTGTTTTAGAGCTGACTGGACCCCTTTTTGGAAGCTGTCTATAGGGTATTGAGAAAAACTGGGGATCTTAAATAATTTTTAATGAGGAAATGTAGCTGCTGAAACTATTGTAACATACCTGCGTGTTCAGCTGGGGATTTTTGGAGGGAATTCAGGAGGAAAAGGAAAAGCACCAGTAATAATGCAATCTTACAAATAATGTTCCAACCAGAATGCTTTAGAGTTAGTACTAAAACGGCCCTCCCAGTGTCTGTGTGAAATACGCAGAGCAGCTCTTTCTACTGAGGATTCACAAGGGAAGGGGCATTTCTTAAAACTGGAAACATCGCATGGAAAGTAAAATGGCTGCTCAAGTATTTGGATAATGTCAAAGATGTGCAAGTTTCTTTATCTGAAGGATGGAAAGACCAGGTTCAGGTGAAATTTGGGTGGTGTGCATCACTAAAAAGAAGGAAAGAGTACAGGGATGACAAATGAAATCCATGAAAAGAAGAAGAGAAACTGGACTAGACAGATCGCAGAGGGAGACACAATCCCAAGGGGCACACAAATTGGGACCAAGAATGTATGAGGAACATGTATTTGGCCTCCTTCATGCAGGCAGGTACAGCATTTACTGGCTCTGGTGTCTCAAGCTCAGGATGCAGTAAAAAGGACAGAATAGAGGCCATTTTTTTACAAATGTCAAGAATTGTTGCTAAATGTGATCTATTCTGACAGTGGCACGATAGTACTTGATTTGATATTTTTAAGAATGCTTTTAAATGCCTTGGAAATACAGAGAGACCAGGTAATCTTCTAGGTTGCTTTGGAGCAAATTGCAAATGAACTAAAACTCAGCCTGGAGCGCGTGCCAGTCATAAAAAAATGTCCAAAAGATAGGAAGCAGAGAAGAGGTGTAAAGCAGACTTTTATTTGACATCTTAACTAATGATCTAGAAGAAAGAACAGTAGGTTAATTAAATTCATAGATTGGATTATATTACCAGTGACAAGGTGGACAGCAAAATAATATAATAGGACCTACAGAGACGCAAAATTCCTGAACAGAAAATGACAAAATTCAGCTACGTTGGTAGTCTAAAACAGATGCTGAATGAGAAAGTGTGCTGGAAAAGCAGAAAACTGTGTGACAATTCAAAGCATGTAAGGTTATAAAATCTCGAATTACAATGAGGAAACAAGAACACCTTCTGCCCTACCCCATGTTAATTTTGGGTTACATATTGTTTATGTATTGTAAATTGTAACTTCAAAACCCAACCTAATACTCCCAAGGATGATTGAGTAAAGGCCGTTCAAAAGTGAACAAAACAAAGCATCATCTTTCTGAAGTCACAAAGAATTTGTTTATGACTGAAAAAAAGTAATAATATTTTTTCTGTATGTATATATTTGTGTTAACATTATAAATGTAATACAAATCAGATGTCCTGAGCCTAGTAATATACATTTTTTTCAAGTTTTTTGTCAAGCTAGTAATTAAAGTACCTAGGCAAACAAAAGATCCTTCTAGAGGAACACTTTCTTTCTTTGCTGCTAAGATAACCTGATTTAGAACGTGGTTAAAGTCAGGAGAGGAAGTGCTCCATGCCAAAAGAAAACAAAGGAGCAACTCTGCTCTAACATCTGTGCCGTACTGCCAACTGCTTTTTCTGTCTAGCTGTAAGAGGCATCCTTCTAGCTAATACAAGTTGCACTGACTGTAAGTTCTGAGTTTACAATTTTTACGATGATCCTACTGACTGTTCTATATGATTTGCTGTGTATACAGTGTGCCACTCCATTGACACAGGAGTAAGTGTACAAATAATTATTTGATTGTTCAAGCATATAATTTTCTCGACAGCACCTAGAAAGAAGTCCACAGTTAAAAGGCCTTTTCAAAATTCATTTCCATGTAAATTTTATTTTAAAAAAAAAAAAAAATCCTTATATAAATACTATTCTCTTGAGATCCCATTGTCTGAAAAACTGTGGTCATAAATAAGTGATCATGTGCTATAAGAAGAAAATTCCACTTATTTTTATGTGAAAGGAAACCCAAAAGCTCACATTGGGAAATACTGGATTTTAGTTGTAAAGGTTTCAGATGACATGTTTCATCATAAAAGAATGAATGAATACATAAATAAATAAATAAATAAGAATTGGAGAGAAAAGAAAAGGATAAGGTGATGGTAGATTATAGTTACATATTGCAATCTACTCCACATTGAGAGACTCAAACAGCCTGCAAGGCATATGAAGATGATTCATATTAATGGACTATTTTATTAAGGTGCAGTATGGTTGAAGGCCACAAAATAGCAGCATTCTGTCAGATACAACAGTAGTTTATTGAAGTCTGATAATGCTGGAGGGCACAGGATTTTAGCCAAGTTACATTTTATTTGACTGCAGTCATATTAGTGTCCGTGCTAGGATGTGTTTTCATATACGTTGTTCATGTACACGTTTTCATATACGTTGTTTTGCCAGAGAACACATTATGTTCTGTTTAACAGATATTGCCTAACTGATTTTTTCTTTTAACTGCTTCTAGGTATGTTGTAATGGGATTCTGCACGACAATAAACCTGGCTTCCAATGCTGCGAGGACAAGTACATTCCATTTATTCCTAATTCACCAGGGGTTTGCTGTGGTGGTCAGATACATGCTGTGCAACCGAAACATCGGTGCTGTGGTGGTTATTACACTAGGGTATTAGTAGGTAAGAGACAACTCCTTTCCAGTGCTTGAAAGAAACAAAAAACCAAAGTTGATATATCTGTTAGAACAAGGAGAATGGAAACATAGCAATAAATGTGGGATTTATCAAGATTTCTAGATGTCTCCAAGACTTGTGTTCAGTGGGATAAGCAAAGAAAATTGCACTGACTTTGTCTTCTAAACATAGTACACTGTTTATACAAGAAAGGCTTAATAGATGAAACCTGATGATTGGGTCATTTCCCAGAGAACTAATTTATACCAAACTATACTTAATTGCAGTAAGTGCTGCATAATGGGGAGGGCAGTTCTGCTTAATGGGAACACCATCAGGCAATTTAGTGGTGCGGCTTAGTTCTCTGCTTGACTTGACCCCATGTGATTTTCCCTAGCCATTTCTTTTGTGGAACAACTGTTAGCATTTGGGGTTGATATTATGGATTATGTCACTTCTGCTTGTTTCTGCATTGTCTACTCTTTGTTTCTACCAATATTACAGATCAAAGTACACATCCCACATGTACTATCTTTGATGGAAATTTATCCTTTTCTTAAGGCTGATCATACTCTTATTCTCAGAACTGTTTGGGAAGTTTGCCAAAACTGTGCTTCTGTGCTGTTGTCCAGAGTTTGGTTTTCCAGTTTGTTGGTGGGTTTTTGACAGGGAGAGGGGAGGAAAAGGGGGAGGAGAGCACTTTCAGGGGGCAGTGTTCAGAGCATATATCTCTTTGTAGGCAATTGTCCGGTCAGGAGCTAAAATGCTTCCATTACTCATGAGCTGGCACGCATTCCCTAGGCTCAGAAATGCTTGAATTTTTGCCAACACATTCAGCACGTCCCAAGTTCTGATCCTTTGAAAAGTAATTCATATATCACAATATTAGAATGCCTTCTGTGACGTCATCAGAAAAATGCTATCACATGGAAGAACCAGAGAAGAGTATTTTGCCGGCCTCATTAATCTCGTGTACTGAAATGGAGAGATTATATTGTGACCTCTGTCCCCATCCAGTGGTCTACGTTAACTAGCTTAATGTTGTTTACATCAAGAAGGAAAAGCACAGTGAAACAAAATGTCTTATGTCTGAAAGTAGTTCTTGTTCAGTCAGCAGTCCATAAGCATGAAACAGTGAATGTTTGAACATGATTTTAAATATTTTTTTTTTCTAAGTATACTTGCTGCATTCTCTTTTTCCATACTCTAAAGGGCAGCAACATGAACAATGTTGGTCACTTTTTTCTTTTTTATTTTTATAAATATGCTAATAACCTCAAGCTAAATGTTAATGTGGGTCATTCTTTGATAAGGATAACAATTAACTGGTAAGACTGCATAGCAGTTTTCAGAGAGGGAACATTTTCAAGCCTAGCTTGGAATGGATCCCATTTTGAGAGGTTAATGAGAAGGGTACTGATCCTTTGTGTCTTATGTCTAATAGTTCTCTTAAAAAAAACCAGTTTTATTTCCAATAGATGTAAGCTACATTCTGTGTTTTAATACTTTCTCTGTGTAGCAACTAAATTAGATTCCGAGGAATGCAGGAAAGTATGATGAAGTATCTAAACAGATTATATCTATTATACTCTAAAAATTTGTTCTCATCTTTTTTTCTTTATTATTGACTTTATTTGATAAAGTTATTTATACAGGAAACTCTCTAAGCATACATATTTCCCAGATGTTGTTTGGCCAGCTTGATAGCTCTAGATGTACTGAAGCACACTGGGCTGAAGGCATGAAGATTACAAATTAGGAAGGCAGGAATCTCAGTTTCTGAAACAGTAGTGCACAAAGAAGTGCAAACATCCATTCCAGAACTAAGATGGGAGGAGACATTCTTAAAGCAAAGCAGAGCAAATAATGCTACTACCACCCAGGCACCTCTTTGGCAAGGAATGTGTGTGGGGGTAAGAAAAACAGTGTTCTCCCTCATCTGTTACGATCACATCACATGTTTATTTATCACAAAAGCTGCATCGGGTTTAGGGCTCTATGTCTGTAATTCACAACCTTTCAGAAGAAAAGGACTTGAGATACCACTTTCAATGAGAAAAACGAGTTTTAAAAATCAAAACACATTTCTTTTATTAACAATCAGGAATCCAAATACTTTAATCACCTCTATTACGCATCTTCAATAGCAGGACAAAACCCCTACTCCTTTCAAATGACATTTAAGCCTCAGAAAACATTGCAACACAGAAAGATAATATAAAAATGTAACTTTTAGAACACTGGATCAGATCAAGTGCAGACACTAGTGAATGAAAATTATTGCCATTTACCATAATTTTTGTATCCTTAATAGCAGCATCTACTCCATTCATAGCACACAGCTTAGCCCAGCCCAGCCCACCGTTACAGTGTCAGTCTCATTGGCAGTCTTATCCTACAGCCTTTTCCTGCAAAAGCTGATGCTTTTGCCTGAGTAGCAACCAAGCCCACTGATTGTGATGGTGCTATTTAATTTTTAAAGTGAGTTTAATCCATAAGTTCTTTGGGAGATGAAGTCCTGAGCAACACTGAGAAACTCTTTAAGCAATGTGAATTAGTCCTTCCAAACAAGTTTGGAATGATTTTCGAGGAGACAAGGAAATTTTTTGCTGAGAATAAGTAGGCTGACTGTTCTGTTAATCATAGCAAGAACAAACTCTCTTTACTATGTAGCTGCCTCTACTTAAAGGTTTTCAGCGCTATAATTATCATATTTACAGAAATTATTTTTGTTGCTTTTCTCAGTTTGTCTTTGTCATGCTTGCATTTTGATATCTTACAGAGTCTTGGGCCTGAATTCATGAATGCATCTTTCTTTAATTATCGTTACAAATGAATATAATACTTTTATAGCATTCTAAAGTACCGAGTGATTCCATGCTTTCACGTGGAACATTTTGTACATGAAGCTACTAGTGTGTGAACCCAGACTTGTTGCTATCAGATGAAAGCCTCTCAGGGATTTTAAGAGCTATAAATGCATAAAATCTTTAATTGTATTCTTAAATTGACAGGAGAAGTATGTTGCCCTAACGAAGAGCAAAACAGAGTTTCAGTTGGAATTGGTGACTCTTGCTGCTGGGGAGTGCCTTACTCCACATCAGGCAATCAAATCTGTTGTGGTGGATCTCTCCATGACAGTTTCAATCAGCAGTGCTGTGGTGGAGAAGTCATAAGCACGGACTTGGTCTGTTGTGGTGATGAAGAAGAAGGGACTGCACACAGACCTCTCACAGGTAAGTGATAAGTTTTCAAAAAAAAAAAAAGGGTCTTCATCTTTCTAAATCTCTTACGACACTAACCATTCAGCAGTGACACACTCCGATCTAAGGTGTGTATGCCGGTTTGTTAAAATGATGTTGCACTTCACTCACCTATTCTGATAGACTGCAAAATGGTGAGCTTTCAATAATCCTTCTTTGCCTTTGTCCAAAAGCTGCGGGGGTGGAGACACCAGAAAATTCAAAAGGAGTGCATGATCTTTCATCATACCAGTCAGGAAATAGGACCTGTCCCCTCTCAATGAGTAGAGCAGAGGTTAGACTTGGCTGCCTTGTCCTGCCATGCATCCCAGTGCAGGGATTTTCCATTTGCTCTGGAGATGTGGGGTTAGTCACCTAGAAATTGAAGATTATGATGCTATCTGGTTGGTGGTCTATGTCCCTCACTTGTGCATCTTTATAGGAGTAAACCTGCTGCAGTTTAAAATTAACAAAACTTAATCCCTAGCACTAGTCACTTGTTCATCTGGTGTATCCCATTAATCTCTTGCACACAATAGGAAATTACTCCATCACTCAGAGGTACAATCTGAACCCTACTTCCTCGTAAAGCACCCTGTGACTAGCTGGTGACAGAGATTGGAGGTATTATTACAAACCCTATTCAGGTATTTTCATGTGTCTTTTCTTTCCACAGTTATTAGACAAATTATATACCATCAGCCTTAGGCTTTCTCAGCCTGACAAAAAGACTTCAGAAACAATTGCAGTGTCAAAGGGGAGCCCGATTTCAAAACACAGAAATAACGAAGGTTTTGTACCCAGTTCTGCTTGGTGTACAAAGATGAGTGATGCAGTGCTTTCACCATATGCGTGCCAGTTTAAGCATCTAGTTGTGCAACTAAGGATTTTAATATATAAATGAGAATCCAGATCTGAAGGCTGAACTCCTCCTTTCCCAAAAAATGAGCCCTATCTTCAACTTATTTTTTGTATTCACTGGATCCTTCAGCCTCTGTGGTATTAGAAGTACCCTAGCTCTGTGTTGACTGTCAGGAAGGGCTAATCAGAAGAGCCATCGCAACGCTTTCTGCGGTTTCTATGCTATCCTTCCCTTCCAGTGGTGTCACATGGAGTGTATCCTGTGAACAGCACCGCTTGCATGATTTTTAGCTCCCCCTCACTGTGATCCCTAATTGTGCCTGATCTACAGCGTCTACGCAGGGCTTACAATATCAGCTCTGAACAAGGCCCTCTTGCCTAGCCTTGCATTGTGTGGCTGCCACAAGACGGGGCTGGCTCATAAAACATCTCTTTATGTACTTTATTACTTAAACTCTTTTATTTGCCTGCAGGAGCCCTTTAACAAAATCACATTGAATTGACTTTCTCACACCAAATCAAATCTCCCTGGTCCCAGTTCAGTTGTCTTTGTCAATATGTATTTTATAAATGGAGTGAATTAACAGATGCTGTTGGAACAGAACTGCTGGGGTAGCGTTTATGTTTTTACTGCTCTCTCTGGGCAGATGAGTTGTGTAGGAGTGTAATACAGGTATCTTGGGATGAAAGTTATGTTCTTCATTTCAGTATATATGTATTCTTAACAGTTTTTTTCCTTAAATATATATATTTAAAAAACCTTTATACCCCTCTTTTTAAAATGCGTTTAGCCTATAGTACTCTGTCATTTACACCATTTTTCTTGAGAATGGGTCAGGATGACATTTTTTTGGCTATTAAAAAAGAAAACAGTGGCTTTTTCATCATTCACAGGTTTTCTGCGAGCCAGCATACAGCTGAACACAAATACAGGTTTGAAAGATGAATTAGCACCATAGTTGAAAAGAGATTGTATTCTTGCATTAAGCATAGACTAGATTATGGTTTCTTATCATATTGTATGCCAATATATATATCATATATATATATCATGCTCAATAGGTTTTTGCTTAATTTCTTAGAGTAATTCAGCCTTGCTAAATACATCATGAAAATGCACAAGCCAGGCACAAAAATCTACCTGCTCCCTATCCCTATTATTATAATGATTCTAATGGAAAAAATACTTTCACATAAAAACATAATTTACTTATCATTGGCAAATGGGTAAGTAGAATTTTGCAAGAATATGGTAATTGGAAAGCTGATCTCATTGTCTAGAAGGGGAAGAGGTAACAGGGGTGGCTTTATGCAAAAGCTGAAATGCTTCTGTTTTGTAGTTGGCAATGAATGCCACGGTTAAAAATGTAATGACAATTTAAAGCTTTTGTTTGGAAGTTTTAGTTCCTTAAAAAAAAATCATACAAGAAAAACATGATCAATAAAAGTGTAAGCCTTGTGCACAGCCTTATTGTTTCATGACCAGTTTGAAAGCAGCGTGTTTCTGCAGAATTTAGATCCAGGTTTGCACTGAATGTTGGTTTAAGGGCTGAATGGTAGAACTTCTTCATTTGCCATTGTATACCTTTTTCAGAGAGTCTGTCCTGCAAAAAGAGATGTTTTTTCCATCTCATATTGCTCTTTTTTTTTTTTTTTTTAATTTTTATTTCCTTAGGTTTTATTTTTCGCCCCTTGTTGGCCTTATTTAGTGGGGTGACCATAGAGACATCTACTGGCAAAGGCTGGCAGTGATGCCATTGTATACACACATCCTGAGCCCCACGGCTACAATGTGATTATCCAAAGTTGTCTATTTCTGGCTATAAAAGTCTGTCCTGCAAAAAGCGAGTAAAACCCCTCTTGGATTTTTTCTTTTTTTTTTTTTTTTTTTTTTTTTAAAAAAAAAAAGCTAGTAAAATGCCACTATACTGACATCCCAGACTCATGAAAGATGATGCTTTGTACTGTTGTGGTTCCTGATCTGTAATAGTTGCAATACCCACGTGTAAGCCAAGGATTTTTGGAGTAGTTTGCAATGTACACTGGCTCTGTATTTTGTTGATCCTCTATTCTGGCTCCAAAGACTAAGCCTTTTAATACTCATTTTTCCCTTTTGAAAGCATTGGTTTTGCAGATTTACTAAATTAGTAATTCATCACTTAGCTATGTTTGTAAATTTTTTCAGTTGCTGGGGATGAACATGAAATAATTGTTGACAGGAATCACTGTTAGCAGTGTCTTTTCCAGCCCATAGATTTTCTTTTTGCTGAAATGCATGATGTGCCTATGAAACATAAATATATAAAGCATGACACACACATTCCAACTGATTTACAAACAAATAGTTTGTATGTTGTTATTTTGCTGAATTCAGCAAGGGTTTATAGGAGTTTCTGGATCCTTAAGCAACTGAATAAAGTGATTTTTAGAAGGCAAATCAATCCATCAATATTACATGGTCCTATTTTGTTTTTCTTGGAGCATATTTAAAATTGTACATTTGAGGTGTCAAGGTTCAGGAGTCAAGTGCTACATGTGATAAATTAAGCAAAGGTCAGAGGCTATGCAATGCAGTTTCAGAAGATTGTCTACCTCTGCCTTTGCAGCTCATTCATGCTGAAGTGATGCACTATGGGAATTACTACCAAACTCTGCTCTGCAACATCTGCTCTCCCTAAGTGAGTTAGTGCACGTCAGACATCTTTATGTCAGAATATTGCAGTGATGGATGCAGTCTTCAGAAAATGCTGCATAAAAATCTGGTGTGCCGTTCTGGCCATTAAGTGAAATTACTATTTAAATTAATGGCGCTGTCACAGTTTATCTGTGCAAAGAATGAACGCTGATTAGGGTATTAAGTAATTAGCAATTTATCACACTGGAACAAGGTTGATAATAATTAAAGAAGTAATGGTTTACCAAAGAAACTAGAAAGGGAGTCACTTCTTGTTATGTGAGTGAAATCTTGGCTGAAAAATTTAATTCAGTTAAACAAAGATGAGGTTCGCAGTGAAAGAATACAGCCTTGTTTGTTTCAATAGAAAAACAGTTCATTATCAAAATTTTAGTTTGCCTGTCAAAAATCCCTTGGGGCTGTCTGAGTTCCTTATTAGTATTAAATTGAGTCATTTTCTGAATTAATTCTCTACTTAAAATTGGTAGAATCCGAGGACAATTTGGAAAAAGGGTGTGAACAGGGGGAAATATTTACCTCTTGGAGAGCTGCTGATCACAGTTTGATTTCTGTGAATGGAACCAGCCCTGAAAATAGGTAAAGTATGCAAGTAACATCACCATTTTGAGTCATTCCAGTGATTGGAATGAAATGCTCTGAATTTAGTAGGATCATACCCTTAAAGAGTAATTTTCATTATGTATGACTTCCTAAGAGAGATTTGCTGCAATAAATGGCAGTGAGAAAAATGGCCGCTTTTGCATGTGTTTTAAATGTCTACATACTACGGAAATTATGCCAAATACAAATTACTTTGTACATGTAACAGTATACCACAGCCCTGTTTTTTTTGTGGTATCTTTCTAGTAATAACATTTATTTCGTTGCCAATTATAGAGGTGTTTGTAGCATTTGGTTCAGAGTTAAAATTTACCCCTTTCTTTAAATGGTGTGGGGTTCAATGCTGGTATTTTACAGTTGCAGAATCATTCATGTGAAAATTACAGTGGTTATGACAAGCTTTTAATTTTAAAATAAAATTATTAAAAATAGAAGAAAGACTGTAGAATTAATTTTGGCAGCTTTTCAATTCCACTACAGAAATACAAATTATATTTAGATATTAACTTCTTAAAGAGTAATTCTCTGTATCAGATGACTGAAGCTTCACTGTGAGTATTTGGCAAGTCACCCATTCAGTTCTACATACCTAGTATGAACCCCCACTTTAAAACATAAAATGTAATGTGAAACATTCTGGAATGCTAAGATGCACTGTTGGAAGACTGCCCATGTAAGGGGGGATGAATGAGACCTGACTGGTAAGTACATGGAGAAGCTTTCTCAATTTTCTACATTCCACAGGAAATTTTCATCAGCACTCTGTCTTCGACCTGCTGTGCACATTACTTTGGTATGGTATTTCATAACAAAGGTTCTTACAAAATTTCAGCAATTGTGATGTTGATTGTAGGGGATCCCTGTTTATTTCTCTAATTCTTGATTGTTTTCAGCAGGTCTAGAAGTCAGGACGCTTACTTCAGTCACCTCACGTTCAAATTTAATCTCACTTCAGCTAAATCTGCGTAATTCCAGCTGCTGATGGTTTTATACTAAGCTATATTACATTCAGAGCTTTCTCCTTTCTTTATCTATTTATTTATTTACTTACATTTCATATTCAGATGTATATTTTTTGTTTGTTCATTTCAGGGATGTTCTGTTGTGGGCAGGAATACGTGAATATGTCAGATACCATATGCTGCTCAGGTTCCAGTGGTGAGTTCCTAGCACATGTTAGAAAGAATGACCAAGTGCCAGTAAAATGCTGTGAGACTGAACTTATTCCAAAGAGCGAAGAATGCTGTAATGGAGTTGGATATAATCCTTTGAAATATGTTTGCTCTGACAAGATTTCAGCTGGAATGATGATGAAGGTAATTGATAGAATATCTCTCGGTAGCTCTGATTTGACGATGGAAAGAGAAATACACTGTTCATAACTATTTTTCTAAAATAGGAATATAAAAACTCTTGTGTGCATTATTCATTTTCACATTACATCCATATTAATACCAAATGAGTTCACCATGATTGATGTTATTGCAATGAATTCTAAAGGAATTAATAATGATTAGCTGCCTCTGTGAAGTGTTGCCCAGCACTTCAGATTAGTACAGTGGCTAAAAGCTGGCATACTAACAAGACTGGCATGTATAGCCAGGTTCCGTTCTGTGACCACAGTTCCTGATGATGTTCCTTAAGTGGAAATTGAAATTGAAGTGGCCAGTTCTGAAGTATAAAAATGCTATTACATTTCAATTTGGGCAGACAGTATGACATAGATTCCCCAACCTCCTAAAAAAACTATAAATAAAAATAAAGCAATTGATATTTTCGTGGTAGACTTCATCCTGATCCTACAGAAAACCAGTGGCAATTTTGGCGTAAGTTTCAGCAGTACTAGGATAGGTCCCTGTATAACTTTTAGCAACGAGGGTAGTATATTTTTGGTGCCTTTCGCGCCTAATGAATTATACAGTTTATTTTCACTCTGTTTTAATGCAAGAGTAAACTAAGCACCATAAAGGCTAATTCCACCTTTTCTAAGAGTGGCCAGTGACTATAAATATCAGCATGAGACAATTTGGCCAAACTTTCAAAGCTGCGAAGTCTTGCAACTCCCGTTGAATTAAATAGAAATCTTCAAGAATTAGCATCTTGGTGTTATACATAAGCTGTAAAAATATTGTCAACTGTTATTACAATTTTTGTTTAAGAAAATGAACATTTCAAAGGATGGAAACCCTGTTTTTATATATGTATATTCGTTTATATATATTTATATTTATTGTATATTTATATTTATATTTATGGAGAGAGGGAGAAAGTGGGTGAGACAGAAAGAAAGAGGGTTGGATATTGTGAATTCTACCATATAGAAATCGGGTAGATATTGTGGAATTTATCACTAAAGTAAAAAGAAAAACAGACCCCATCCTGCCACATATAGGTGTTCCTGTATCCTTTTCGTTCATCTGCTAATACACAAATATTTCTTCCATCTTCTTCTTTCCATGTCAAGGTTTTAATGTAATTTCATTTTCAGACTGAATAATTTTCTCCTAGAGAAAATCCAAGTGTTGTGATGAGTCAGCTACTGTTCCTCAATGCATTGTATTAGTAGTTCATGCAAGGCAAAAAATGGCTGCGAATAGGTTAATGAATTCTGGTAGATAACATGCTAGATCCATGCCTCAGGTATAATGTACAAAAAAAGGAAGCACTTTGTATTTCACTTACCCGCAGTAGAAAAGAGATAGCAGTGCTGGCTTTCTGGTATGTATAGATTTACTAACATTAAAAGGACTGATATTCTGAGCCATATTCTGGTGTTACTTTATATGTGAATCCAATCCATCTATATCCTACATCTTATATTGATATCTATCACAATGTAATTTTTGTGAAAGTGCCAAGTTTGGGAAATTAAATTAGCTGAAGTTCATAATCAGCTAACAAACTAGTTTCAATAGGTGAATTAAGGAAGCATTAGATATAATCTGTTTGATTTTCCTTCTAAAGTTTTAGCCTAATGGGCAGAAATATTTGTAGCAAATATTGCAGTACATTTCTTCCTGCAACAACCTATATTTTATGAGAATTATTGCTCTCTAGCTTATGGTTTGGCAAAAATATTATTTCATGAATTTTAATGGAAACGTGTGGATGTTCAGTGTATATTTCTATTTGTGTGAATTGTTCTTTATGGGTTAAATCTGCATCAAAGTTTGCAGAGGTGCTCTTACTGCAGCAAAACTGCTGTTTAGGAGTGATGTGGTAGAGGACACAATTTATGTTGCCCATGGATAGAGTTCTCAGCCTTGACAGCTGCCAAGGAATTGCAGAGAGCCTCTTGTGTACTTGGCAGTGTGAGGGGCTAGGAATTTGTTATGGATTTGCCAGGGGATATTGGCCTTTGCAGAAGCAGAATGTTCAAATACTCAGATAAAATCCTATTCTCATTTGATTATAGACTCTTCTACTTTCAACAAACTCAGCCATTTGGGCTTCTGGTGGTTAACATTTGTGATTTTTCCATGCAAGGACCCTACCAAAAAAAAAGTTTCATTTAGAAAGGATTATAAAAACATTAAACACCAAAGACAGTAGGTTGGCCTTCAGGCCAAGGGCTGAAAGGGTCTCCCATATGCTAGAAATATCAAGGTACTCAATGTGGTTGCTTGATTTATATGTTGCATAAAGACAGAGAAATACTAATGGAAGCATTTGTAAAGAAAGGAAGATGCGGTAAATATATTAAAATTGTATGTGTACTCCTTAGGTAAAAGAAGAATGCAAGGCTAATATCCTTTGCCCTTTAGTTATGGAGGCAACAGCACATTGTGGAAAGTGTGACTTTGATCCCAGGGAGAATATCTGTGCGTGGATAAAAGGTTCACAGAGTGCTACAGAAAAGGAGATAAAGGAAGGTGTGTGTCCAGCTGAAGAGGAAACTGTCTACACAGGAAGTCCAAACCAGTATTCGTTTACAGGTAAGGAAAAGTGGCATATCAGATTGGTGGTTTGCTGGTGTATTTAATTCACTCTGGAGGAAAAGATGCTATCAAGTATTCTAATTAAATGTGAAGCAATTGTAGTGAAGTAGCATTCTTTAAGAATTAATCTGTGAGTCAGGCCAGTATCTTCAGGGAAATGAAATGAGTAGCAAGAAGTTCAGTGAATACATAAGGTCTAAACTTGCTTTCACAAAAGTTGACAGAAATATTGCTATATCAGAAAATGGCCCTGACTAAAAGAACAACTTCCATATCTATCTGTCTTTAAACAGAAGTAGTCCCATGGGCACAGAAAAAAAATAAACAAAGGTTATTTTGTATTTTGATAAGACTGGGCTGATCCATATGTAACTTTCTTTTTCTAGACCTGAACCTCAAACCTTTTATCACATATGAGTACAGAGTGGCTGCTTGGAATAGCTATGGAAGAGGCTTCAGTGAAATTAGCAGAGCTGTCACTAAGCAAGATGTGCCACAGGGCGTAAGTCCACCAAAATGGGCCAAAGTGGATAATCGGGAAGACATGATACTTCTAAACTGGGAGGAACCACTTCAACCGAATGGTATTGATATATGTTTAAAAAAGAATATGTTCTATCATTCAACTGACAGTGTTCCAAAATCACAAAATGTTTCTTAATTAATCACTGGCACTGAAATATACGTATTCCTAAACTTTGCAAGAAGAATTTGCTGTAGGCTGAGATCATTTTCATTGCAAATAAAAGTAGAGTCTAACTTCACAGAAGACAATTTAGTATGTCTCTGAGAAGTGCCCAGAAGCTTCTTTTGAGAACAGTTGTAATAATAATTGGCAAATATGATCAGAAAATCACAATCATGTTACAAAATATTTGGGGATTCGGGGGGGGTGAGTGGGTGATACTCATGTTTCTTTCAAGGAAATCTTGCTTATGATTTTCAAACAGTGAGAAACTTGCAATAGGTCTTAATAAAAATTGAGAAATACTGAGATGTTGATGTAGAGGTTGAAGAGAGTAGCTGGTAATTGACATTAACCATTTAAATGGGATGATTGTCTGTTACAGTGGTCACCTAGAGATTTCATTTAATATTTTCTGTGTGCAGAGCAGGTTATTATAGTATACCATCACACAGGATTTCTCAGCTAACGAAAGGGAAAACTTTCTTCCTGCAACAGGTCTTGTTATTCACTATATCATTCTCCGAAATGGAATTGAGCGTTTTAGAGGAACAGAAATGAGCTTCACAGACACAAGTGGTGTCCAGCCATACCAAGAATATTCATACCAGCTGCGAGCCTGCACTGTTGCTGGTTGCGCAGACAGCGGCAAGGTTAGTAAATTGGTCTTTATGGAACTGGTGCCAGAATTTTACCAGCCAGTGTCGTAACAGAAAAATGCTTTTGGAAAGCTGTAATTTGAAGACATGGTGATTATTGAGTAAGCAAGTGAAAAACATCAGTAATCTTATTTGGATTCAACTACTGACAGGTGATTATTTGGAACCTAAGGTTGATACAAGCAAGCAGAAGAAGAAAGCAGTATCTCAGTCTTGGCAAAATTGCTGAAATTGCACTGTAGGAACTGATGTTTGTTAAAGAGAAAGCTGCACATGATAGAATGGAGTAAGGAATATTAAAATGCACTTTCTCTAAGCCTTGAAATTAAATCCTTGCTTCTCACTAGAAGGTCTATAGCCTCTTCTTCCTTGGTATTTCTTAGTTTATCTGCTTTAGCTCTAGTCTATCAATTTGTTCAACAACCTTCTTATTTAGAGCCTCCTTCCACTATACTACCCTTCAGTGGCTTTCCATGTCTGTACCTGCTTCAGGCTTTACACTCCCTTTGTGTACAACCTGCCCCTGCTTCAGTTTTAAGCAAACAGAATCTCTTCCCTCCCTTTGTCACTGCTTCATTTCCTCTTGTATCACTCTGAATCATGGATGCCTTTCACCAGCATTACTATTTAACCAGCTCTAGTTTCTATTCTGCAAAGTACCAGTCTTATTCATCATTTGGAAAAACTATTTCTTAAGTGACCTCTTTTTCACAATAATATCCTTGCCTCTATGAAAGTGAATTTCTAGGACTGCAAGTGTAAGGTGTGTGGGGCAGAGGTGGGGAATAATGACTGTTCTTTGTAATTATAAAATCTATGGGACTGAAAAGTTGATTTTTTATTGAAAAGTTGATTTTTTTTTTTTTCAGTTGTTTAAATGTTTTTCTTATGGGTGCAAATCTCAGCCGAAAGTATAAGAAAAGAAACACTGATGCAGAGGGATGGAGATAGGCTCATAGTCCTCCACCTGCACACAGAGCTGTGGTCTGGAAGCTACATAGGCACAGTTGCTGCAACCATTGTCCTGAGCTAATAAATCTTGCTTATTTCACTTGTCTGTAATTAAGGAGTTTACTGTTGCAAACACTGACATCTGCAAATAGGGACTGATTCCACCAAATGCACTAAGACAATATATAATAGAGGGCACATTTTATATTTACAGCATAATATAAATATTTTACGGTGGTAATAACAGAAAAAGAAAAGTGGTTCTCAAAGAGAAAAAGGTCTGACTCACTTATTAAACCAGTGTAATTTGGAAATGCCTCTGTAGGAGATGGTAGAGATGTGTCAATAGAAAATTAGCTTTTTCCTCCTTCTTCTTTTTTTGTAGAAAGAGCTTAACAAGTGCAAAGTTATTCTATCTTTCAAAATCTTTGGTTCCCTTACAAAAATATGGAGTTGCAAATATCTACAATAGAGTTCAGATTGCATGGGATATATGGAGGCTTAGCCCCATGTTTACTGGTGCTTAAAATATATGAAATCAGGCAGTTAAAATGCAGAGACACTGACAAACCATATGGAAGAGAGTTATCAAGAGTTTTCAAGCAATACAGTTTTTGTTGTTTCACCCTGTGCTATACATTGCAGCTAGAACGTGGTGAACTTGTTGTGATAAATTGTAGACATAGACTTATGTAATGTATTCAAGGTCAGATTTCATTGTGAAAAAGGAGGAAAAAGTAACTAGTTCTCCAGGCCCTTGGTAATGATATGCCAGGCCAAACAACATTTTAAAACAAAAGTGACATTCTCATTGATCATGGTATCTAGTGTACTATTACATTAAATTGCTGTTTAATTCATATGTCTTCAGGTAGTTGCAGTCACTGTCCAAGGAGTCCCAGAGAGTGTTCAGCCACCAGACATCAGTGCTTTGAACTCAACAGCATTACATTTAAGCTGGATTGCACCCAAGAAACCAAATGGTATTTTAAAACAAAAGTGACATTCTCATTGATCATGGTATCTAGTGTACTATTACATTAAATTGCTGTTTAATTCATATGTCTTCAGGTAGTTGCAGTCACTGTCCAAGGAGTCCCAGAGAGTGTTCAGCCACCAGACATCAGTGCTTTGAACTCAACAGCATTACATTTAAGCTGGATTGCACCCAAGAAACCAAATGGTATCATCAGAGAGTACCATTACTTATATACACTGACGCTGCAAGCAGAATGCAGCACACAGTGTCAGGTAAGGAGGCAGAGCTCTCTGACAGGTTAATGTCCTGTCCTTAAGGTATAAGACAGTATTAACATATTAAAAATGCTACTTGTCAGTAACTTTTAAATCCCTAGTACTGTGCACAATTTAGAAAGCTTTATCATGACTTTACATGTCTTAAATTTATTTTTTTCAATGTCTTTCATTTCTGGCTGCTGTTTGTTAAAATATTAATAGATTTAATTTCAAAATTTTAAAATAAATCTGTCCAGCTCGATTCAAGATGCATGCTTGTGGTGTGCTCAAGGTCTCAGATATTCTGTGTAGGCTTGCCATCCCTTCACACAGATTCAACTGTCTCTTTTACCGTCATTAATGTGCAGTAACACAATTGAAGTCACTAGTGCTGCTGTGAATGTGTAGCAGTGTAGGAGCGAGAAGGATCCAGTACTTTATGCCTGAGATAATAAAAAAGAAAAGAAAGGGAAAGATCCTGAATTCTGTTTATAATCTTATATATTTTCTAAATACTTGGTGAAATTTCACAAGTGTGTGTATATCTGAAAGAAGCTTTAGTCAAGGGATTTTAGGGGAAGATTTGACTCAGACCTCAAATGTATTATTTTCACATATTCAATTTTTAGTTATATTTGAATGTTACACTGAAGCAAAATTATTCTTAGAAATGCTTCTGTTGAACACAAAACAGGAACATAAACATTCTGGAATACCTTTTTTCAGTCTTTGACCTCAGGTTGCTCATCGAATTCTTGTATCTATGATTTTTAGGAATTCATAAATACATTATTTTTTCCTTTTTTCTTTTCCACCTGAGTAGGAATCTTAGAGATCCATATATTATACACACCATATGATAGCCACCCAAAGAGTGGAAGTTGACTTAGGGCATATAAAACCTATATAGCATATACGGCACTCTCAACCACCCCTCAAAGCGTGAGTCCTGAGTCAGAGTGGATCCCTTAGTGCTTTAAAAGAGGTTGTCCTTGCTATAGTTACTCACAGAGGAGTAAAGAATTGCTGTTCCTTTTTGACAATATCATGCTCAGTGTGAAATTCGTCAACTGTATATTACGCCTGTCTCCATATTCAGTGCTTCTGGACATGAGATATTAAGTAGAGTATGCCAGTTGGTGTTTTAGAATTGCTGTTGTAAGTTTATACTGTAAAGAACACCTACCAACAAGGAATGATCTATCAAACCCATTTGAAAAATACTTCTCGTGCTCCCACTTCCTTCCCAAAGGCAGTTATACCTCCGGAGTAACTGAGATTTTAATGAAAACAATACTGTTTTTCTTACCAGTTGGAAGGGAGAGGAAATGAAATTACCTTCTGAGAAACAAGGATATTTTTCCTTTTGTGTGTCTGTTCCATTAAGCCACTGTCCAATGCTGCCATGTTAAGTCAGGAGTGAAATAAGTGATCATTCCTCCTGACAGTCATAATCAAATCTTGTACTGTTTTCTGCAGGAGCTTCCTTGGGTAATAACGTGGAATTCATGGCAGTGATTTAGCAATGTGGATAATTATTGCTCTCTAAATTAAAAGAATAAGATAAAACAATCAAATTTATTTCATACATAATCTCAAATGTTTGAACCGTTGTCTTATTCCCTGTGGATGTATGTTTTGATTTTCTCATCTTCCTTTTTCTTTTTTTTTTTTTTCTCCCAAAACTGTCTGCTTTTCCCCAAGCCACAGTTGAACATTAATGAAGCTGTAGCATTAGCATTTCTTGAGACTTTGAATCTAGGGTCTTGCAAATACCAGACGAGAAGGCTAGCACCTTGCCACTGCACCATTGTCTTGCTGCTTATTTTTAATTACATCAAAGCTTTGGAAACATGATCCCACAAATGCTTTGTGGGAATAGTGGTGAATGTGCTCATCATGTGAAATCCATAAATTGCTTATAATCCTCTCAAGATGTTAAAAAAAGCATTAAGTAATTGAAGACAGGAAGTCCTCAGTTAATTATTTAGAGGTGTTATCAATGCTTTAAGCAAACTGAAGCATTTTCTGCTATCTCACTGAGTTGAATGCCACTGGGACTGAGGGGCAGCAGCCATCATCTTCTCATATTCTCTAATGCAAACAGCACATGGCAGCTTGTCAATAAAAGACCTTTTTATATCATTTATTACTGAACACTTCCACTACCCTGTACAGAACAATTTGGATGACAGTTATGGCATTGTTTCACTTTGTGTTACTACTACTTTACAAATGGGCCTGCTAATGCTTTGCAGTGGGGGCCAGGCAGAGGGTAAGACTGAAGAAAATAATTAGAGGAATTGTAAAAGAAAGCTAAGAGTGCCCTCTTCAGCAGCAGCAGGTGGGTTTATAGCAAAGATTCTTCTCAACTCCTTCTTTAAGTACACTAAAGATATTATCCCAAGTAAGAGGCTTTATCGAGAATTTGTAGGATCATCTTTAGGTAAAAGCCAGACAAGATCATCGATGTTTATTTTAGTAAAAGAAACAATATTAAGAAATACTTTATGACTGAATGGTTTGAAATTCTTTCATCTGAACATATTCTCCATTTCAGGGTAGTGAAAACTGAAGAGATACAGAAATGTTGTCACTGGTCAACTCTGTCTCCATGCAGCACTGAATCATTAGTAATATCTATCTAAAGGATACACTCTTGGGGGTGGAAGGGTTGTGTGAGGCTGTGGTCAGCAATCTGACATCCTCCTGAGTGAAATTCCCACGACGGGGCCCAGGAGTGTTAGCCTAGGAGCTAATTACTGACCTTGCTGGAGCCATACCCACAAATGGAGACAAACAGTATCAGAAGGAATTGATTTGGCTAATAGAAGAATGCTTCTTAAAAAATCACTCTTTCACAGCCTTTTGGCAAATGACAAATGCTGCAGTAAGAAAATAGACTGCTAAGTTAAAAAAAAAGAATAAAAAAAACCCCACAATAATAGACCAAAAAAGAAAAGGAGGGGAGAAGTATCCTCTAGTGAACAATCAAGTAGAGAAATTGGAAAAGCAAAACGCTGTTTATGTTTCAAGATTATCTTACTTGTTATTTTTATTATTAATCACATACATAGATTTGCACAGAGCTGTCCAAAGCATACATAAGACAAGGTGTTTAATGCAAAGCTTTAATAATCTAGATAAAAATCTGCTGTCACTGCTCCATGTATGACTAGAGGTTTCAGGTATCAGAATTTCACCGATAAATTTAGTGAAACCATGTGCTCTTTTTTTAATGCCCATTTTTCTCTTTAAAGTGTAGTTGTAAATGAGTATTGCTTTATTATGCATGTTTCCTTTAAAAGTGAACATGACTCCCTTTAGGGGAATTCAAGTAATTTGTTGCCACAGTAATCTTTTCTATCCTGAAATGTTAAATACTTGGCTTTCCTCCATGCCTTTGCCTCTCTCTAGTCTGCAACTGTCATTTTCTCCCTTCTTACCTTTATACACAGTGTTCACATGATTTTTCTTCTCCTCCAGTTCATGATTAGGTTACAGCCAGGGCTGTCCCTCTGAGTCATCTCTTTATTTTCTCTCCTTCACATCTTGTTCAATTTGTAAGCAGCCTGCATGTCTTCCATTCAGTATTCTACCTTTCTACATAATTGTTGCTTATTCTTTCTCTCTATTTGTTTGTAATATATTTTAATTAAAATATCTCTGTAATGGCTATAAGCAAGGATTTGTTTATAAACAAAGATCTTGGCCAGACATTTTTTCTTGTCACAGAATTGCATTGTTCATGAAGTAATTACAATTAGGCACATGAGCTATGTCAAAAGTACGTTATTAAGGTCACAAAGCCAAGCACTTAAAAATTGACCTGTATACTACTTATGAATTGACCTGTATAATCCTAATTCAGCCTCTTTCACACAAGCAGTCTGCATTACACAGTAGCGTAGTCATTTGTACGCAGGGTTACTGCCTCATTCAGTCCACAAGCTCTGTCTCTTCTGGGGAGGAATAAAGACAAATAAATAAAAAAAGACTCCTGTATGCAGGACTGCTGCCTCAGCTTTTCCTGTGTTTGGTGGGTTTATTCCTTCTGGGAATCTCAGTGTAGACGGGCCTAATTCTGCATCTGCCCAGAGCTAAATTTCTTTTCTGCTCGGCAGAAGTCAGGGAGGCGCAAGCCCGAAGTTTGTGTGAATGTGGAGAACAGCGAGGGAGGCAACAGGGATAGTGCCAACCCAGAGGGATAAAATGAGGATCGCTGAGGGGCTGGCGGCATTGGCCACCAAAAGGAAGAAAGGAGAAGAGGCAGTGTCCTGAGAGGGCAGCCCAGTGGCAGCACACAGGGCGGCCTCGCCGCTGCAGCACGCTCCCACATCAGCTCTCTGTCAAGCTGCTGCCAGCCTCCCCTGGGGCCTTCCCCCAGCCCTGCCCCGGGACCCAGGACCCCATTTCAGCCCAGCCTGCTGCCCTCAATCCCTGCTCGCAGCTGTGCTGGCCTCCAGCCCTGCCCTGCCCAGCCATGGGCCCTGACAAGCCAGGGCCACCCGCGGGCCCATGTCCCAGCCCAGCCCCATCCCCAGGGAAGTGCCTGGCCTGGGGCTGCCCCCGGCCTGCCCCGCTCGCCAGCTGGGGCGGTGGGACAGGCCCTGGCAGGTCTCCTGTGGGATGCCGGATTAGAGAGCTACAGTGAATGAAGTGTGGGACGGCCTGGAGGAGAGACTGATCTCTGGATCGACACACTTGGCTTCTGTCCTGGCTCTGCAGGACGTTCATTTCTGTTCCGGCTGTGGTACTAAGCAAGACACATCTCAAGTTTTCACAGCTCATCATAACTATGTCGTCTTTATTTTCCAGACACCCTGCCTGAGCCCTGGGGCCTGAATTACTAGTTCCTGAGCTCTCAGAGCTGCAGCTGAAGGCACCAGGGGTTGTGCTCAGATATATAAAGTTTTGCACAACACCAGATACTCTGACAGCCAGGTTCCAGGCATCCCAGATGGTCTCCTGGCAGGTCCAGGGAGGTTTTCATTTCTCAGTCTCTTTGTGTCTGCATCTTGTTTCTGAGTGAGAGAAATCTTTTTTTTTTTTTTTTAAATTCTTCTGCTACTGCATTAAGCCATTTGCAATGCTTAGCTGGTTGGTGTTAGTAAAGCAACCGGACACTCTAGGGGTGGTCACTACAAAAAAAGTCTTGAATTACATACAATTAGAGAGGCCACATGCTGGAGGGAATTTTAGATAGGACTGTGCCACAGAGCCTGTACACAAACGGGGTAAATTTGTATTGTACAATGTCCTAACGCTGGGATTTCCTAGTTTATGAGTGTTCAGGTTTGCAATCTTAATATTTTCACAGAGTTTTTGTGTATAAGTTGCTTCTTCTTGTTATACTGTTTGTCCCGTTTGCATTCAGGAACAGGAACTTTTTTTTAATGTATGATGAGGTGTTAACAAGAGGGTCCTTGAAAACATGCGAGAGAGGGGTTTTCAGTGTTTATCCTGGTAATATAATTTTTAAGATCAACTTTGAGAAATACCCAAAAGAGTAGTTTAGCAAAGACCCTGTAACCAGGGCTGGAGCATGCTCTGTGAGGCAGTCTGATCAGCAGTTAAAGCTGAGCTCTGAGGTGTTCAAGACAGGCTCACAGAGGTCTGCATCTTTAACGGTTAACTGTAAGAAGCCTTTAATGGGCAGAAATGGCTATTTTAAAAGCTTAGTATCTTAGCCAAATTTTGGGTACAATTTTATGAGGAGTCCTAAAGTCAAATTCTTAAGCCGCAGGCAACTTGATGTCAAATCTGAAGTCATTGACACACAGCACAAGGATGTTTGAAAATTTCCAAGGAAAGGTCAAAGCAGTATATTCTCTTTTAGTCCCATTCAAGGATGTCCAGCATAGAAGGTTTGAGCTGAAAAAATAGTTTTAAAAAAATTACAAGTAACTAAAATTAATATCTTGTAATGGAGAGGGCTTGGTTGTCAGTCCTGCTTCTAACTGCTTTATAGCATTTATAGTAAAATCTTGTAATAAATAGGAAAAAATAGGGAAAAAAATTGAACAAAAAGAAGTTGAGAAGGGGGCAACAACAGAGTATCTTTGGACTTGTTTGCAATATAGTAGAAGATTTTATGTTGAAGTAAAAGAGTATTTTATTATCTTTTCTTATTGTTGCAAATATATTTGTAATAAATTTTCAAAACATTACAGGCTCTTTAGCTTTTCAAGTCCAAAACTCTAAGCAATTACACTTTCAGATGCTTATCTGTTGAAAGCCTTTGAACTTCTATGACCATTACCAGTGATGGAGATTATGTCTGTGCCAAGAATGTTTACGTGCCTTTCAGTTTATTTTTAACCATTTTGTACAGACAGAAGCATAGGTGAAAAACCCCGACTAAACACACCCTAGAGACTGAGTAAATTTTCCCCAGATGGTAATCTGGGCTCAGATCTGGACTGTTGTTACTACACTGCAAGTGCCATCTAAGCTAATTGATTTGAAGCTAATTCAGATATGTCTATATAAGGGGCATCCATAGATCTGTTGCAGCATAGACACACATTCAATCTGAATTGTTTTGTCAGGTCTTTTAAACTAGTAGAGGATATATATCTAAATTAGCAAGAATTCACCATTTCAATATTATTCAGATGCAAAATTAGAATGGGTCATACTTTACGTTTGCCAAAAATACTAAAAGTTAACTTTAAGTCCAGTAACTTTCTGTGTAGTGATACAATTCTTGGGATGCCTGATGTCAACATCTCAGTCTAACCTCTGTTTGCTCTTTCTAGGTCTGCAGCCATACACTAATTACAGCTTCATGCTTACTGCATGCACATCTGCTGGGTGTGCTTCTAGCCAACCACTTTCAGGTCAAACTTTACAAGCTGCTCCTCATGGTAAGGGAAAAAGATGTTCTTATAGAACTGCAAAGAGATGGTCATATGGGCTTGTATTTTCTGATGGTTTAACAAGGTGCAAAACTCCACTATCATCCATCAAGATATCATGTATAAATTTACACAAGAGAATCCATCTCTCGTAGAATATTTGTATCTTAACACACTCTTTATACTGACTGCCTGGCACTGCTTTTCTACTTTCTTTCCGTGACAATTTCCCCAAGTTGATCTTTAAGTTAGCGAGGTTAGAATCAGCAGATGTATATTTTTTAAAGCACAAATAAATATGCAGAGACAACTGGGCATAAAAAGGCTGCAGCCTTTGGTCTTGTTCTCCATTAATCTGTACCTTGTCTAGTTGGTTGCGTTTGATATAGGATAAATACAGAAAGTGTGTTAAATTTTGTCATTCTCTCTGGCAATGTTTTATGCTTTCATTACATTGCTGAAAGCAACAGCACAAACTGTGGGAAAGGAAAAAAAAAAACCCTTTATGTTTCTCTCACAAAATTAAAATAGTGTCATTGTGATGTTAATAGGGGTATGGCCAAAACCTCATCATATCATAGTCAGCTCAACAGAAGTGGAAATCTACTGGAGTGAACCAAAGAAACCCAATGGACTCATTACTCAGTATCGATTATTTCGTGATGGAGAACAGGTTTTCCTGGGTGGCAGTACAGACCTGAATTTCACAGATGTTAACCTGCAGCCTAACAGTAGGTAAGGCATGTTAAAGAGCTCTGGTATATGTGAAAGGTGGCCAAAATATATGTACGTGTGTTTGTGAAATGTACAAAATGTAAGTTACATTTTTAACAAAAGAAAAATCTCTTATAGTATTACTTAATTACTGAAAGATTAGTAGAGCACTTTTAGGAGGCTTCCAAATGTTGGAAAGCCTTAATCAGAGGATTTCTCTTTTTTTTTAACTTTTCTAAGAATAGATCACTGTGATTCAAAGAGGGGGAGGCTTTTTTTTTTTCCTTGGGTGGTTGCTGGTGGCTCATTGGTTGTTTTTTTTCCCTCATGGAATATACTGAGAAAAATTTAAGTCTTTATATGGCAGACAGCACTGCACATGGTTTATAATGTTTCTATGCATATTGAACATACTGGCTCAAAAGTAGCAGCTGCTGCTATTTTTACAGAGGCCATTCTAAATTGTTTTTGACACTTTTTGAGTCAATACTTCTCTCTCTTATGTAAGCTAATGTGAATTTTAGTATTAAAATTATTCTTATGATAAGTAAAGAGTTACTTTTCTCACATCACGAAAACCTAAAGTTGAAAATCTTCACTAATGCAGTATTTGTAATACTCTTTGTATAGTGTATTCACTTTAAATTGGTGAAAATGGAAATGTTTTATTACTGATATGCCTAAAGCTTCTAACCGTAGTGTCTACTGATCTTTTTGTGTTTGTGCAGATATGTTTACCAGCTGGAAGCCAGCACTTGGGGCGGCAGCAACACTAGTGATAAATATGTTATACAAACACCAGTGGGAACACCAGAGAAAATTCATGTCCCATATAATGTCACAGTAATTGATGCATATTCTATATTTCTAGCCTGGGACATGCCAGGTAAAAATGTATTTCTATGTAGTACTTTGTAGCAAAATGAAAGGATGGAAAAATTAGTATATTCAGGCAGGCAGCTGAATCATTCTGATATTTTTATTCTTCGTATTTGGTTTTAGTGTTTGTGTGATTTAAATAACCAGTATCTAAAGCTGCTGTTTCCTAGAGACATACTATTTTAATAATATTGACCTATATACTTGACATGGGTATTGAGAGGGTTAGCTGATCAAAAATCCGTATGTAAATTTGATCTTGTAAACTATTATTGAATGCAAGTATTAAGGAAAAAAACCCCAATTACACTGAAAATAAGTTTTCCCTTCTGTTCAGACTAACCTGAGTTATTGACAGGGAAACCTGCCAGCCTTTTGGGTTGATGATGTCTTGATAGCTATCCTGGCAATTAAAATGTCCAGTTGTCCTGCAGGCATGCAATGTTGAGCTCCTTTGACAAAAGGTGTAAGAGCGTGACACAGAGATCCTGTGCTGATCCTTTGATCTGATTGGGTAAATTTTATTTGCCAGAGCACCATAGTGTTATGTGGACATGTTACCTTACAGGAGGGTGGGTCAGCAAAGGCCCAGAAATATTTTTCTTCTTGTTACTCTTCTTCTGAACATCACCAGGTTGTCTTGGCCCACTACAGAGGAAGGCTAAGAAGGAATAATTGAATAATAGCATCTTTTTATATGAGACTGTGCTCTGTTTCATTAATATAGAGCATAGCTTAAGTGATTGGTGTACTTTACTGATGTTATAAAAATGATATGCTGTAGTTATTGTGGGACAATGAGAGCATTGTAAATGGACAATTTTCTGTCTAGCGTAGTTCATCTCCAGCAAGGTGTTATCCAGTTTCTAGATACTGGTTTTTTCAGTTAAAATGAGGTCAATTTTTTTAGAAACTTCAGATGTTTGCATATTGCAATAACAACAGCATGTGTTTTATCAATGAACTCAGGGAAATTTTTGATGTCTCCTCTTCCTAATTATTTGAGATGTTCTTTCCTTGCATAGCAGTCACAGTAGAGTCAATTGGCATGAAAAATAAAGTCACCTAGAAAAAGTATTTTGCCTTTAAGGCTGGGATCGCAAGTATTGTGGCAGTGCTTAGCAGCATTCACCCTACCCATTTAAGCAATGATTAATAAATCTATAATACCCTGAGCTGTCAATCTTTTAGTTTTCAGAAGCACAAAATCCATTATAGAAATGCTATAATATATGAAAAAGATTAAAATCTTAAATTAAACTTTTCCCCTTACTGCCTGAAAGGATTTAGAATCCAGCAGAAGGCAGGTGAATTCGAATGGCACATAATCTACAGTTGGTTTTATTGGAAAGTGACTCAAGCTGTATTATAGTTTTGATAATAAATATATTTTAAGGTACAAAATATTCAGCAACATTATGAATAGATTTAAAACATCAGAATATACTGGAATAGCGTAGGCTTGTGAAGAGTGGGGTGTTTCCCAGAAAAGCTTGTCCTTGTTGTTCTAGACCTTTTCTTTTCTAGCTGCTCGAATTCCTGTTACTCGCAGTAGGTTACAAGCCTGCAAGGAGAATCAGGCTCTGTGTAGCACATTTGGTTGTGTTGCAATTAAGATTGTGCGTGCAAAGGTTTATGTATTCCTGAAACCACACGATCAGAGGGGTGAGGAGGAGGCTGGACGTTATGGCTCTGTAGAGGATGCAGGGCTGATGTATTCACACAGCTGTAGGAATCATTCTCCTCAGTCAGGGGAAGGCACATGTCCTTCTTCCCAGGTACTGGACGCACCTCGAACTTTTGTGGATATTTGGTGACTCAGTCCCTTCCTCTCTGCGTTCTTGTTATGGGGCCAATTATTTAATTTTTTAAGTAAGAATAAGGGATTGTTTTTCATACAGTGCCCCTGTTGGGTAGACAGGAAAGCAAAACTTGCTGTTCCTTTTATTGTAGCACCTCAGGGCCACTAGCTGATCTTACAGGAATGGGGAGTACTAACAGCAGAGAAATGTTACTAAATGCTACTAATGCTACTAAAAGAAACCCTGTGTACAGAAGCATAGGTATATGCAGAAGCTACAAAATTAATTGTTGACCCTTCATAATCCTGCTTCATGCTCATCCTGAGACCTCTATGCTCCTAGGTTTTTTTTTCCAAGAGCAAGACTGCAGGGGATGCAGGTAGAGGTTTATTTTGGAGGTTCTGATCTTCTGGAATGCATACATCCCATTAACAGGTCCTATGCGAGCACACGTCTGGAGCCACATACATCCCCAGCTTGGCAGGATTAGCCTAAAGAGTCTACAACTTTTTATCCTTATTTATGTCATTGTGCATGGAGTAACTTCTTTTTTTTCTGGTCTTTTTTTTTTTTTTTTTTTTTTTGTGTATGAATCCTTGTTTCACAATAGGCTATATTGAGCTAATATAGGTTTCCCTTATAAATCCAGAATGCAGCGTTTATTATAAGGATTGTCAGGCTTGGCAGTCACTCTTGGACGAGACAGTTATTTTAATTGGTATAGTCTCCATGAAACCAAGTTTTGATGAAAGGGTAGTTGGTCATAGTGTCTTCCTGTCTGGGGATATCAGGGATACTTTGGCATTCTATCTTCTCATCTGCTGTAATAAATTTGGATCAAATAATCACCCTCAGGATTAATTATGGGCATCATATTACACAGACCTTCCTTTTGGATGGCTTTAATTATAATGTTTCAACATCTGTAATGTATCTAAAACTTACGACTTTATAGATTTGTAGCATTTCAAAACTCCTGATTTAGCTAAATAGCAAGGTGGCCTAGTAGTGGTTAAAGTGATAGATTCAGAAAAAATATTTGACACACCTCACTCACTATGGAAAATAGGACTTTATTTTCTGAAATAGGTATCCCATTATCTTGTGTTGCATTGCCTCAGTGCACAGACCTCAAAGGTATGGTACATTTCACTGATACGCTACAGAAGGATATGTTACAATTATTATGGAACAACTATTAGTGCCATGGATAGAAGCAGAAAAGCTGAATGGAAAAAAAACGCCGCCACATAATTCTCCCAAGGCATATCCATAAATGTTATTGATAGGTAGGCAGGTAGCCATCCTGCATTTCAACTCATTGACAACCCCACTGGTCCTCGCTGGGGGCCTGATTCTTTTAGATATCTTCAGTTGCTGCTGGTGATACCATGAAAAGTTCATGTTCAAAAGAGGACCCTGTCCTCTGCTTCTAGATTACTTGCTTCATATGTTAATGATCATCTGGATTAAAAGGTCTTCTTTCACCATTTATTTCTTTTTCTACTTCATCCACCTCTGGGTTTGCTTATCAATTAGAATGAAAGTGGTGTAACATGTCTGGATTCCTACTTTATTCTTCTTGGGATCAAATTTGGTGTTGAATGACATTTATTTGTCTCTTAGCTTTGTCTCTTAGTTTCCTCAGCTAACCTGGTTTCTCCTTTATTGGTGGCCTAACAAATTGTTTTGACTTTTGCTAAGCCGATGTTACGTTTCCTCATTTTTGTTTTCTCATGTAAATTATTGTTTGCTCCACATCACTGTAGGACAAGCTTTTCAAGCTCAATGTCCAAAGTTCTGCATCTTGAAAGCAGTCAGCATCTCCAGCTATTACTGTCTTCAGAGTCTTGTTGGGAGTACTTGATACAACCAGAATGAGATATCTGGATATTTGAAGCTCAATGTAAATACTTAATCTCAAGAAGCCAAAGAGGTTGTTTTATTCTGTGAGGTTAAATATTAAAATATAACTTTACTCTTACTTGTTTATAAATAAAAGATATAACATTCTTATTTTAGTATTTTTTTACTATAAGTGAAACAGTTCAACTATTTTGCTCTTATTGTGATTGGGTTTCACATCATATTAAACAATTTTTCAGCAATTGACTTCAAACAGATTTTTGGTGACCAGTCTGTAAAACAGACTGTGGTTTTTTTTCCCCCAATTCTAAGGATCTTGTGCTGCAAATTCTATTTTTGAACTACCCTAGTTTTGAAGTGCACAGAGCCGTTAAACCTAGTTTGCAGTTTTGCACAGAATTGTCTGTTAAATGTTATCCATATATGCCCACAAAAAAACAAGGTTTAGTTTGATTGACTTGTCCCATTGCAAAATGTGCACCTGCTGTGAAATGAAGTCGCAGAGAAAAAAAGTGGAATAATTTAACTTTTTTATTTGTAAAGATAATCAGGGTTTTTCTGATTACATCTTAACTTCATAAATGTTAAATAACCTATCAGCATCTAGTTGTTGTAAATTATGAAAAAGAGTATTGCTGGGAATATTAACCAACTAAATCCTTGTTCTTTAGTGAACATGAAAATGTGTTATGGCAGGTTGTCATTGTGCTCATGGTAACTTTGACACCAAATAACAAAACTGCCATTTGCACTTAGAGTAAATTGGTTCACTTGTGCTTTTACGGTTCCTTTTATTCTGACATAAATTTATGAACTCTGGAACTAACCAAGTCGTGTGGTTTCCCAGCTGACTTTAACAAATATGCCCATTTTGTTTCCTTCAGTCATCAGAGCACACAAGGTAGTAGTTTCAGACTGGCTGCAGATGCTGAAGGCTATTCTGGAAGAAAGGTTTTTTTTACAAGTTTCTGTGTTGTATGAGTGTATATTTTTTATTTTTCAGATTATAAAGTGATCCTTTGATCTTAGCAGCTGATGAATTTCATCAAAGTGTAGAAGGATTTCCATTGAATATTGGAATTTTTCAGGATGCTTACTTGGTTTTATTTACAATTTCATGTTCACTTTTTGAGAATATTTTTTCTCCTGAGCATATTTATTATTAGTATCATTCCTAATATATTGCAACATTTAGCAGAATTTTAAGATTTTGGGTTTTGGTTGTTTGGGTTTTTTTAGCATTTCTGCTAAATTATATGGACTGAATGTTGGACATGAATAGGTCAATTATTTTGAAATAAGTGTGCTTTGCTGCATATTGATGGCTGGATTCAGCTGTCCTTGTTTGTATTTAATCTTCCTTGGGAAATCAAGCATTCTGAATAGTTCCAATTTCAAAGGTTTGTGGTGAATTTTCCTAGAATAAATGCACTGATCAGATGTACAAAAGTGAATTATGTGTCACTTTCATAAGATAGCGGGGTTTTCTGGCTGAAATATCTGGTCTGTTGTCAGGACTGGAGAAGAAGGGGACCTCAACTGCAAGATTAAAAAAAGGCTTCTATTTGATGTACTGTCTACCATTTCAAGTGCTCACTTTTGGATCTTCTGTTGTGTCCTCTACAGGCACTCCAATTACAGGGAGGGGAAAAAAAAAAAAAAAGAAAAAGGTAGTTCAGCTGTAATAATATATCTTTAATTACTGGTATAATTATACAATGTACACTCAAGTGCACTCTACCAGAGCATTTCATCTTCCATATACCACAGACAAAAAAATAATTTTCTGTGTTGCAGATCACTTTAAGATCACTTCTCAGAGGTTTACTCTGTAACTTCCTGCATGACTTTAAAAGTTGTGTTTCTATTATTCCATTCTTAATGATTAGATCTTGGTGTTTTCCTTGAAATTTGTACACTGAGAAAGGAAAATTTTACAGTGGGATTTTTGCACTTTCTGTCGTCTTCTCCCTTCATCTCTTCCAACGACTAATATCAGTATCTTTTTTCTTCCTGTAAGCTGAGCAGTTGAATAAGATTGAAGTCATGCCTCCACTTCAGGGCTATTTTTTCAGCTTTTTCATGTAATGGCATTTCCTTTGTCTAGCATCTAGTAAGGCAACAGCATCTTATTTCTTTGGGATTTTTATGTCTTCTTTTTCTTCTGAGAATTGCAAAAACTTGGTATTTTTCTGATCTTCCAAAGGACATCAGAAGTGGAAAATTAGGAGTTGACAGCATGGGAAGAGGAATAGATGGGGAAAATGTTTGAATTAAAACAAAATAGTAAAAATTGAGGGGTTTTTTCTTCAACAAAAACTAAACAGTTTAGTTTTATATCAGTTGAAATTGTATGTTTCCTGGTTCAAGCTACTATATTGTACTTTACTGGTAAAGCAGGCTAAGAACCTACACTCAGCTACTGCTGCTGGGCTAAAAAGGGATAATTTGCTGAATGGTGGCAATTCACTTTTTTGATCATATGACTCTATATTCAAACAGCAGTCCTTAGTAGCTGTTGCTCCTCTAAAATAAAGAAATAAAAGCTGCCTGGTTCCCAGTCATAAGGTCACTCTTCCCAGAAGTAGCAATTGCAACACAGACATTGACTGAATTGAATTTTGATTTTTAACTAAGAACTGTAATGTCTGTCTTCCAGTTGTGATCTGCAGATGGATTTGTTTCAGTTTATATTTAAATGGTTGTAGTTTCCAAAAGAGGCAGTAGGTAAAACCTCCGGAGGGGGCTTACATTTAAAATTGCATATGATGAATGCCTCTTTGAAGTTTTCCTGCACTGTTGTTAGTATTTCAGATAATCACTGGTTCTTCTCTGTTTCACAACAGGGATATTCACTGTCAATGTGCCTTTGGAATACAACATCTTACTAAATGCGAGCAGTCCCACTCTATTGGTGAAGCCAGTAAGACACGCACATTTTGCTTTTGTTGATGGCCTAGATCCTTACACCCTGTATGAGATAAGAATACAAGCATGCCAGAATGGTAAGATGATTTTAAAAGACTAACCTCTGTGACTGGAAGGGAATGGAGATTTTTCCAGATAGATTCAACTCAGCAAAACAGATAAAATCTTATTTCTACATTGGAGTCAAATGTTTACCTAGTAAAAAGAAAGCCTAGCACTGAATGAAGCATTAAATATTTCTCCATGTTATATCATGAATATTTTAAATGGAGATTTAAAAAATGTGGTTTAGGTAATATGTGCCATTTTATTCAAAGCTCTTCACAAATAGCTTAACAATTTTTGAAAATGTGCAGACAGAACAAAGTCAGTTCTGTAACTGTTCACCCACAAGAAGTGGTAATCATAAAGACAGGGGAGAAGAGCCCAAATATTACAAAATTCCTTGACTTTTATGGAAATTTTCAAAATCCGATTGAAATAAGTCTTTCTAAAATGACACTCTGGAAACAATTCTCCACTCACCTGCACTGGTGAAAATCAGGAGTAATTCTTCAGTGGAGTTGCGGTAATTTAAATGAGTATTTAATAATGAAATGAGGTGAAATGAGGCACCATTTCATCAGGAGCTTGTTTACTTGACATTCATTTGCTTTTGCTGTATTTTTTTGTTGAGGTAGAAGCTCTCATTACTAACTAAACTACTGATTTTGTAGGTGGGTGTGGAGTGGGTGGTCAAACATATTCAAGAACTGCTGAAGCACCTCCTAGAGAATTGAGCCCACCTGTCGTTAAAGCAATGGGATCTGCACTCATAGAAGTGAAATGGGCACCACCTAAGAAACCAAATGGCATCATTACTAACTACTTCATTCACAGGTAAATGCTTTTATCACCTCAGATTCTTAGTCTAATTGAACTGTCCATTTCTTTATTCCTTGATATGCTGGGAGGTGAAAAAAAGTGCAGAAGTATATGATAAAATATATATTACCTTTCAAATGCTAAGGTAAGATGCTGATCTATGGATGGACAAGTTGAGAATAAGAGCTGAGACAAGAATCATCTTCCTGATCTACAAATGACAAAACCAGGTGAAAATATATTTTTAAAAATTCAAAGGGACAGACAAAAATTGTAAGATAGATACTCTCACTGTGTTTACCCAGACCACGAGGTACATTCTTCAATCCTCTCTGATAGACAACTGAGAATTTTGGAGAGGAAACAGGAGTAATTCACCATTCCTGAGATTTTTAAAAACGTAAAAAGGTATCTAGGTTCCTAACACAGATCAATTTTCCAAGATAAATTATGTTCCTGTTTCTAAGTAAGTAATCTGGAGTGTGATTAAAGTGCATCTATTTATGTTCCTTGGTGTTTGTATTCAGGTGCCCTGTCTAGGTGGTTGACTGACACATCCTCACTCCCTATGAGGAGCTTCATAAGCTGTGCGTGAGGATTTTTCTGTATAGATAGCTGTGTTTAGGGAAGTATCAAAGTAGCAGAGCACTGATGTCTGCTGTACCCATTGACCCTTTTTTAAAAGCTCGCTGAAAGGTCCTTCTTGAATAGCTTCAGAAAGTCAGAGAATATAAAACTCAAGCCATGTATTGGAGAGGAATTTAAACTCTGAAGTTCCTGGTTTTCCCAACTCTAAATATGCGTGGCAAACACATGCTGGGCTGAACCTAGCCTCCCACAAAGAGTTTGGGACATTTTATTATATTAGAGCTGTGACTTAGAAGACAGGGAATCGAATTACATTTTGGAGTCAGGAGTGATAATTAATATAAATTCACTTTTGCCTTAAACACATTAGTAGTCTCTAAAAATTCCTGCTCTCTTGAAATATCCTTTTGTTTACTTTTTTTTAATTGTCTGTTCAAAAACCCCAAGTCCCTCCCCTGTATAAAGAGGAATAAAGTGTATGTTGTAGCCCAAGACATGTCTTCACTCTGTTGGTTTTGTAAATAAAGCTGATGATTACCGCTGCTATTCCATGGCAGCCATAGAAAGGGAAAACAGGAAATATAATGCAGAAAGCCTGCTTCAGTGAAAAATACTGTAAATTGAATTTGACAGCATTTGATGGCATTTGATTATTCTAGTCACAGCCAAACAATGATATAAAGAGTAATATGAAACAGAATGTGTTACTGCCTAGCAGACTCAAAAGCAATAAACCTTCCTCCAATGTGACACAATCACTTCACAATCATAATTGTAGCCTGTTTGATACCTCTGAGTACAGCAGAAGGGCACTGACTGACATAGATACATTTTGTTTTTTATTTAAAGTGAAATGAAAATGGCGCACTGGGGCTCCAGATACAATCGTTATATTCACCTACATAGGCATGAATCACTTGGCAGTTATTTCAGCTGAAGTTTAAATGTGCTTAGACAACAACAATATCAAATCTTTCTCAGATAGCTGCAAAAAATCAGAAATGGGATGTAAGCACATAGTTCTTTTTCATTTTGTAGCCACACATAGCCTTACATTGTTATAGCAGCAAGACTGCAGTATTTCTATGGGAGGTTATGGCATGTAATTTCTTCTTCATCATGTGCCTCTTCCTTACTGCATCACCACCACAATAAATTCATTTAACTCAAAACCTGGAATGCTTGGGGAGCTAGTGTGTGTGCAGGTCTTTGCATTAAAATGGCAGGACTCGTGCTTTCCTCTAGAATCATAAAAGCACTTGCAAGTTTGCGCCATTTTGTTAGAAACAAAAAAATTAAAATGTTAATTTATGATAAAAGAGATGGTGACATTTTATTTTTGATTCACATAGTGGTTTTAAACACAGATCTGAGGCTTTTAAACTTTTCTAGCAGGGACCACAACTTAGAAGAGACTGTGAATGAGAAAAGATCTGGTTCATGAGACAATCACCCAATCTACTTCTCTTCCCATTCATCATTACATAACATCCCTGTGACAACCACAGAAATTGCTAGTCTGGAAAAATAATATTATGGAAATAGGTGATGTATTTCTTGCTGTATTTTAATAAGATATAGGTCACATCAGCTAATGGAACTGCTCTCTGTTGACCACCAGCATGCACTGTGTAGGATGCACGAAATTACTCTTAAAGAAATATGGCCTGTAAAATTATAAGTATTTTGGTTCATATCTTGCTTAAGGAAGTGTCTGAATTTCTGTCAAAGTGTCTATGTTGTGTTCAGTAAGATTATATTATTTAGATGTATATGTGAAATTGTAATATAGCTCTCATTAGCTGAGAAATCCTGATGGTGAAAATGTAGGCAGAAGAATCAGGAGGGAATTTAAGACAGAGGACATGTCTCAGTGGCTGTTGACTGTTGTGACTTGCGGTGTAGAGGCTTCTAGACTGATACTTTATGATTAATTCGTTGCTTACCCTTATACCCTTAACCATGAACTGCACCAGAGACAGCTTCCAAGGCACATATATTAGTAGATGGTTTAATATAAGAATCGTTATGGATGGATATGTCATTGAGTAGAAGAACTCCTGAAAGGTTTTATTTATACCTGTAATTGATATAATACCTAATCTAAACTAGCATATTGCATGCAATAATCTCAAATTCCTTTTGTTCACTTTTTGACATCAAAACTTGTAAAAAAAAAAAAAAGAAAAGAAAAATATACAAACTACATTAGTATAGATTTGTTGAATCCAAATGGTAAGTGAGGCTGCTTTGTTTAATTGGATGTGAAACTGTAGAGGGGGAGCTTTGTTGATATTGCATTATTCCCCCACATTTGACAGTGTGTTTCCTCAATTGTTTTAATTTTACCCCAGAACTTCTCAGTGTTTCTAGAAATAACTCACTACCACTCTGTTAAGGAAAACAGCAGGCACTGCTAAAACATGTGCTTTTGTTGCATGGTGAAAGGTAAACGTGTGAAGAATAATTCTGGGTTGACCTGCAAGACCTCAGGGACTCACTGAGTCTCCTTCCACATAAGAAAGCTGAGGGGTGCGTGTTGCAGTTAGTGTTGCTGCAGTCCTCTGCATACAGCTCTATAGTTATCTGTCACAAAGAAGATTATATTCTCTTCTCTATGTCATCTGGCTCAGATTGGCAGTAGGGCAGGGAGAATTTGCCCTTATAAAAGTGACTGTATCTGAGCATCTTTAGAATGAATGTAAGCAGCAAATCAGACTATGCAGATTAAGAGACAACTTCCAGCTCTTGGAAATGTTATTCTCCTTTGCAGCTCATTGTACATAAGAAACACTTCCAGTTAAATGAGCAGTTGAATCTTAAATCTTAAGACGATTGAAATGATTACAGACTGTTCAACCACTTCTGTTCAAAGTTTATTCATACATGAAGATATTCTGGTTTTTAGCACTACAGATGGAACCATTTACCTAACCATAAGTTTCATTCATTAAATATTCAGCAGTAATAAGGTATAAATACTTAACCAGACTATATTGTACAGCTTTGCTTGTGGGTGAGCTTACAGTTGGTGGCATATTTGATCTTTCAGTGTGAAAAAAACTGTTTATCACAGAGTTTCAAAAATTTATAAAACATAAATTTGTTTATTCATTTAAATGCCATACTGCTTGGTCAGACAAGACTTATTAAATGTGACTTTATTGCACTAAAATATACTCTCTTTTCACTTATCTACAGAGATTTTTGTAGGCATGTTTTTGAGGACACAGGGAAAAGACTGTATTTTTAGATGCAGGAGAAAGACATAGCAGTGATTCACCTTTCAGAATTATGTGACTTTAAGTCAGTAAACAGCATCTAGGGGAGAGTTCTGCATAAGGCTTAATTTGCCATTACAATAGAGCATGGGGAAGTGTATTAAAAATAGCTGATGAAATTTTGGGGTCAATGGGAAATTTTGTACCCTGACTCTTCCAGACATTTTGTTGCAAGAGAAAGAATTGCTAGGGAATCTTTCCTACTTGTTCTACCTGCCATTCTTCACCCAGTTCTGCCAACCAGTTCTCAGTATCAGCACATCTTATAATTTGCCTATTGCACTACACTAGAGACATTGTACCTTAAAACTCTTATTTTTTTAAAATCACGCTTTAACCCTTTTAAACTAAACAGTGTCCATATAGCCTGCGTATCCTAGAGTTTAGCAAAAATTCTTTAGCTTCATCTAAGAAAATAATGTATTCATGCATGCCTTATATATGCATCTACACAAAGGATAAATAAACAGCTGTGTACATACATGTATTCATTATATTCTTCATATTTGCATGTAAATACCTGGGTATATATTATTACAAGCAGTTAAGATTATCAGTTTTAAAAAATTGTTGCATTTTGTATTTTTAAAGTAATTCCTGGGGTTGATCTAACAAAATAAAATCTGACAGAATTTGTGAAATACAGATTTTCTCTTGCCAAAGAAATGTTCTTCAGCTTCTGTGTGCATGTAGTGATGATGACACCCAGTAGTCAGACAAACCAATTTTACTTCCGCAAATTTGCCCTACTTGCAATAAAAGTGGCAGATAATGTAATTTGGTTTTTGTTGTTGGCATGGAGGGTGAAAGTGCTTTTACATTCTGCAAAGGCCAAGGCTCCTGTGAAGAGTAGGGGAAATACTTAAATTCATGTGCAGTACAGCACAACCGTCATCGTGATTTATCACAGTGTTTAAATGTAACCAACTTAATTTCACACAAACATTTTTATGCCAAGTGAAAGAATTTATTTGATAACTCTGTTTTGAAGATGAGTGCTTGCCTTATATACTAGAAGGGACCAGATTAGAAAGGGGCTGAGGATCATCTGTTGTCTCTTCTGATACTCATAATATCACCAGGTCCAACACAAGCAGATCTGTAGTAGGAATGCTATATGTACATATATACGTGTATATATATGTGTGTGTGTGTACATACAGATATATATACATAGGTACAAAAATAAAAACTCATTGTGCCAAAAGCCTATACAGTGAATTGTCTTCATATATCTTAAGCTTGCATTTTTAAACAAAAACAACATTGGAAAAAATATGTAGTTTATTAAAGAAAGCACTACTTGTGATATTTTAATGAGTTTTTGTGGTGGAGCTGCAAATTCTGCTACGTTTATGCACACGGGATTACTTATTCCATTTGCAAGAACAAATAGGATATTTATTGTGAGCAAACCATAATTTAAAAGTGCATGGCTTTGGTTTTGAGGGCATAATAGAATCTTTATCCCTTGTTCACTAGGTAACATTTTTCTCAAGTAAATTGGTCATATGTTTTCCATAAATGAGGGATCCTGAGGTGAGTACGTCCATAAATAGTTTGATTTTCAGAAATGTTGAAAACTTGCACCCATATTGCAATTCAAGTCATTACTTAGCAACTACATATAGATTTAAAATTTCACATTCTAAATTCTGAAAGTCTGATATCTGATGTGTTCTATCCTAAAAAGACAATACGCTGTTGTGTTGCTACTCCGCTACTACGGACTGTGACAGCACACTTGTTTGACATGTTTTGTAGTATTCTTCTAGATAAAGGAGAATAATTAAATGATTGCCTCAAAAATCTCTTCTTCACTACTCGGCACCTAACACAAGTTCAGGGAAATGTTTTTAAGATGCAAAGATAGATAGACAGTTCCTTGTGTGTGTATAATGTATAGAAATAGGTTCTGTACTTTTCTGAGGTACAGGTTGAATTTAGAACTTCAGGATCTACTACCATGGGACTGTTAAAGTTATTTTCAATTTTAAACATGTTGCCTTTGATTTAATTTCAGACGTCCTGTGGGCAGTCAAGAAGAGCTGCTTTTGTTCATCTGGGCTGAAGGAGCTTTGGAATTTATTGATGCGTCTGATGCTCTACAGCCTTTCACTCTCTACGAATATCGTGTCAGAGCTCAAAATGCTGTGGGGTCAGTGGACAGCCTGTGGGCTTCAACACAAACTCTGGAGGCTTCCCCATGGGGCATGGGAGCCCCTTGGGCACAAGCAACAAGTGCATACTCAGTGCAATTGAACTGGACCCAGCCTGTCTCTCCCAATGGTGTTATATCTCTGTATCGAGTAGTCTATCAAGAAAAACGCAGCGATCCAACATTTAGCATCCCAGCTGTTACAGCACTAACTGTAATGGTAAGAACTGGACCACAAAACCAGTTTTAAGTTGTTTTTACTCTGCTTTGATCTCTCATTTAACACTGATTGGAAAAGTGGGGTTTCCAATTGCCAGTAGATTTGTTGGTTTAAATTTTAAACATTTCACATTAATATCTAATTCCTGGTAAAGGCAAGTAGATTACTTGGAAGCATAGATGGGTCATGTCTGGAGGAATTAAGCACATGCATCTAACTTTGTCAGCCTCACTCTAAAAATACTGTCCTGAGCTTTTTGTCTGACTGTTGAAATAGTTTCACAGGATCTGCACAGAGAACAACAAAATCAGTCCTCCTTGTATATAATTCTGGTTTTGTGATTCAGTGAGAATCACAAAGTGAATGAATTAATTAGTAATTACATAGTTCATATATGCCACACATTTGCATGTTCCCCTCATAATTCATCAGTACTAAAAACAGATCTACTTTTACTTTCATTACATGTACTTATATTAGAATGTTACTTTGCACTGCCAACATGCCTTTCCCTTCAAGGGACTTTCCAAATATGAATGTCTGTAAATATTACATTTCTATTCAGTATGTGGAGGGTTACACTCAGGAAAAGGCAGGTTGTTTTGTGAACTGACTAATAATGTTATGTAAATCAGTGACAGAAGTGTTTATGGTTTATGCAGTTACCACTGCTCCTCCCACCTATATATTACATTCTAGTCTTTCTATAGAAAGACAGCTTATAGATAGTTGAACTGAACTGCTGTATATTAGGATAGCTGCTGTACTTGGCTGGCTCCTGAAAATAAGTTTTAGAGAATGTTTAAGGAGGTTGTAATAAAGTTGGGTTTCCTCATCAGTGCCACCTCAATTTCATAAACCTAGAATTTTCCCTAAGTGATATTCATAGGACATGTTTATATTGAATAACACCAGAAATCCCCTAAATTCTTAATTATCCCAATTATAAAGTATCTGTTTCACATTCAGGTAGGATCCTAAAGAGCTTTCTCTGGAATACCCAGTAATAACCGTTAAGTAAACTCCCTTAGACAAATCTTGACATGACAAGGTGGGTGAATTTTCCAGCTCAGTAATCTTACATACTCTTGTGATCATATGGTTCCAAAGCAGTTTTGTGTCTAGTTTCCTGAAAGCCTAAATGGATTAAGTTTGTAATACATCTTTTTCTGAAAAAGAAAACAGGTCCTGAACTGAATGATAGGAATATATACTTTTGGCTTCTGAAATAGTTGCATTCGCATTGTACAGTATGTTAGGTTTTAAAAAGTAGATTGGGATTTTAAAGTTATTGAACTTCAATAGGATTTTGGTACTTAGCTCCCTTAACTTGTTTTAAAAAAAAAAAAAATCACAATCATAGTTATGATGGGACACCTAAGATTTCAAAACCAGCGAAATGACAAGGCTTCTCCTAATACTCTGCTTCAGCAGCATGCAATGTGTTGCTGAGAATCGGAATTGACCTGGCCGGTCATGCATTGCAATGTCTTCTAAGCATGCCAACAACAACAGAAAATGTCCAGGATGGTTGTATTGTGGGTAATAAAACCTACCAAAATGGCCTTTTAAATAATGTTGCCACAGTGTGTTTCTTTAACAGCATCACTTAAAAGCCTTTTAAATTAACAAGCTATTATTTCCTGAATTAGTATTTTCCTGGCTCCAAAATCCTTTATTTTCCCCAAACACTATCCTGAATCAAAATTACATTCTGGCAGCATATGTATAGCTGTTTTACTAGTGTTGCGGTGAAGCTGACTTGCATGTTTTTTCTACTGTCCTTTGTCGTGAACATTTATCGATTATTATTTTTGCTACCTGTTTTTATTTTTAAATATTATACTACCCTTTGGGAAGAAATCTTTCTGCACAGTTCTTCCATCAGTTGCACTCACTTTAAACTGTTGCAACTACATTAACTCAATAGAGTTGTTGCTGATTTATACCAAGGAGCTGAGATCTGAATCCTACCTCTTTTGAGTATAGCAGAACAGCTAAAGCTTTGAATCAAAGTTATTAACATAAAGTGCACAGAGTGCCGTTATCAAAGAGATCTTCAGGAGGTCAGGTCAATTATCCCAGCAGGAAAAAACCTGAACACCAACTTTCAAAGTTATAACCCCTTAAAAATAGAATTTTATCATGAAATTGCTGATATACCCTTACCTGTAGCTTTGTGAATGAGACACTTTAATTAAAATGTAATTTTATTGAAGGAACTAGCATTCCAATGATTAAACTTCTGCCCCTTTAAAATACAGCTTTCAGGGGTACTAGGCTAAATCATTTAATCTCCTAAAGCATCTCTATTGGAGCTCCCTCGTGGGATATGCCATTAGTCATTCTCTCACACAAGCTTCCATGTTACAAGCAGGACTTAAAGTATTAAGCAAGCAATGAGTTCGGTCCTTTATTTAATCTGTTATACTCCATTCTTATCCCATTAGATTGTTCCAGAAAAAAAGCAGTGCTAGAATAACGGTAGCCAATACAACCCTTGCTCTTGTCAGTTGCACCCTGGTTGCCTGCCATGGGACATAAAGCTTGACCAAAACCTAAAGTAGAAATACAATCCTTGTGACACTGCAGGATACAAATTAAGCTCTCGCTAATATCCCTGCAGACTGTTCTAATTTGACAGCTTCGCTTCTGTCCATTTCCAGAGCCAGATGAGAAGCATCTTCTGGGTTTTCAAAACATTTGACAGACTTATCTACTCCACCTTCCCAAAATGCAGCTATTCACTCCCCAGTTAAGGTGCATTAATCTGTATTTGAATTAATGTGTCAAAGGTATGGCTGTCATGTAGGTTAAGGTTATCGCTGACCCCTTGAAATTTTACGCTGCCTATGGAGATAAAAACGAGAACTCAGTTCTGAGAACAAAAGCTGCTGCCACTCAGATGAAAGGAGGATCTTCCTGCACCATTAGAAGCAAGTGAAGTACACATGAGCTTGTTAAAGCTGCTCTGCAGTTAAAGAGCAGTGTCACCCATTTCCCTAGCTTGTTTGGCCAGGAGTATAGTGACAGATGTTAGGTGACAGCAAGTTAAACTGACATTCTGGTTTATTTGCAGAGCGAAGTCAAGTCAAGACTGGTTACAGCAGTACAAGTGTCTCCCACAATGTCTTCCCAGTTCATTTTAACCTTCTAAAGCAAGAATGATATTTAGTGTCCTATTGACAGTATTAACATGAGACAGATGTGTTTATAGAGGAATGGATTGACAGTAAGTTCACATTTACAGAAATCTGCATAAAGTGACTAGATTGTCAAAGCAAGCTTCTCACTCTTGTGAACTTAGGGCTTAAACTTGTGAACATAGGACCCAGAGCTGATTTCATTATAAAGCCAGTACCTGCCAAAAGGCATCAAGGCATCACAGCTCTTTAACTGTTGTATTCCAAATGTTGCTGTGAGGTAAAACTGTGGGTAAGTTTGGACTTTTCCTTGGTAGATGTTTTGTGGGTGTGTAATGCTGTTTCTGCCATGACAATTATATCAAGTATTTGGTTGTTTATCATGAGCAGGAGAATTCAAAGCCAAGAAGGTGAGTAAAAAATGTAAGAATACGTAGCTCTTAGAATGTGTTTGGAGAAGGAAAAGCATCCAGAGATGAGGGTTATAAAGAAAAACTCTGCCTGCTATGGGCAGTAACCTCCCCATTATTATTATGTAGAATCAAGGCCTCAGTGTGTCAAATCCGCCTCAGCAGAGTGTAATTAAAGTACAATGTGCTTGTTACAGGATGCAAGAGATAGGTGTAAGCATTATAGGTCTTATTCCTGGGAAATCCTACACCTGTGCCTACCTAGAAGCACAGGTCTACTCACAATGTGTTTTGCAGTATGAGGCTCTCAGGCCAAATTTATCCTACAAGGCTTTTTTGGCATAGCTATGTCAGCTTGGGGTGTAAAAAATTAACATGTCTCTTAGCTGATATCACTGCACCAGCAAAGCCTTTGGTTTGGAGGCAGCTATGCTAACAGTTGAGGACATATGTTGGCTTACCTTACATTATTTGGGTAGATGGTATATAACGACACTGGCCAAGCTCCTCTTGGCAGATGCTTCATCTGTGGTAGGGAGATCTGTAGACGTACTGCAGAGTAGCAATAATAATAGAGACTTTGGTAGGAGGATGAGGCTTTGGCTTGCATGATTATGTTGTTATAACCAGACAGTAATTTGTATATCGAATGTATAACCAGAGTAAAAATAATAAATAAAGTCTACTTGCTGACAAACTCCATATAAAATATATTATATCAGAAATAATCTTAAGTGGCCAGTACTGCCATATACATGCACCTCCTATGCAGGATTTTCCAGATATCTGGAATCTTGCATCCAGAGTTAGTTCCCTTCTATTTTCATCACATTCAGAAATACTTAATACATCCTTGTGTGATCCTTCATTTCTGTTTCCTCAAATAGACCAGTGAACATTTGGCAGCATTAGAGATGAGATACCACATAGTTATTAACTTCCTCGTACATAACATTATTCAGTAATGCAGTATGCAGGACTGTACATGACAACTTCCTTATAGAAGAAGGAATGAAGATCATAGCCACAAGAATAAGAAAAAATATGCCAAAGAGAGGGACCGATGAAACTTTTTTATACATGCATATTTCAGGTGCCTGGGAAATGGACTGCACTCTAAGAAAACAAGATGAGAGTAAATGGAGGAATCCCTACACATGCCATAAATTCAGAAGATGTGCTACTTAGCAAAGAATGAAAGGTGTAAACGGCAGTGGAGGGCAAAAGTTAATTAGGCTACTGTGCTGCTGTTAGTGAGTGGAAAGTAGCCACAACCAGAAACAAGATGGCTGCTCAGCAGTGCCCTAATATAGCCAAAAGATCATATCCTTACTCTGCAAGGGCTTATGGGTTAGGGGGAAATCATACACAGATGACTAATTTTTTTTATGGTTCACAGCTGATCAAAGTGAAATTCAGCAGCTGTTCAGGACAAGTGACCACTCTA